TGTCATTAGTAGTATCAGAACTGCTAACCAGGTTCCTGTTTCTGTAGATTGCTTACAAGAAAGGAAGTTAGTGCGTTCCTGAGCATATCAGTGTGTCTGTGACCTCTTCTGTGGTATCTCATTTTTGAGTCTGTTCCCTTAATTGGATATTCCTTCAAAATTTTTGTAACAACTCTTGCGTCATGCCTTACTTTCACAATTTTTTTTTCTTTTTTCTTTTTGTGGTGCTGGGAATCAAACTTAGAACTTTGTGCTTGCCAGGCAGGCACTGTGCCACTGACCCATAGCCCCAACCGCTGAACATGTGAAAGAGAGGGGTAGAAAAAATAATTGTATCGTTTAATTTCATTAGAGAAAGCCATTTTGTTTGTTGTCCTTAAATAACAGAATTCACTTTTACAAATAGGTTTTGAGATGCAGTAAAATAGCTGGTGTAAAAGTAGCAGAAATTACAGAGCTTATACAGAAAGCTTTGGAGAATGACCAGAAAGTGAGGTAAGTTTTTCTGAACTAAATGTTGTTTTTATAAATGCTTACCTAGGACTTTTCTTGACAAGAGCAATCATAATGATTTTCATATTTAGTCTTTCTTTCTTTGTTAACCTCATTTGTATATACTACTTAGTGTGTTTTAAAGAGTCTAGTAGGCTGTTTTATTCCAGTGTAAACATAACTTGTATTGAAAAGCCATATAAGATTTTTTCTTTAAAAAGTTAACATTTTCTTAAAGTATCCAGTAACCATAGAACATAAACAAGTTGATTCCCATTTCTTTTTCTTACCGTGTGATCTTAAGCAAGATACATAATGTAGCAACAAGTGTCCTTTTCTATCATGTGAGTTTAATGCTGTCCTCAGAGGGGTGATTTGAGGATAATGTACATACTTCGAAGTGTCTAGCACATACCTGGCACATGGTTCAGTAAACATTTCTCTTGATAAACATAATAAATCAGTGCGGTTAAGTTAGTCAGATAAAACTAATTCAGTATTTCTCACTCACCAAAGGCTAATATTTTTTTTCTTTCCGTCCTGTCTTTTCTCTTCATCATCCCCCCTCCTCAAAAAACAACAAAACCTCACATACAGGAAAGAAGGTGGAAAGTTCGGCTTTGCAGAATCTATAGCAGATCAGAGGATCACAACATTTAAAATGGAAAAAGCCCCCATTGATACTTCTGACGTTGAGGAGAAAGCAGAAGAAATCATTGCTGAAGCTGAACCTCCTTCAGAAGTGTATCTTTATTGGGTAGTCTTTGCAGTAACAAGATTTGTAACACTTGGGGTTTTATTAAAGCTGTATGTGCACATTGACATTTGTTTTCTGAAATATGTACTGTGTTAAACACTTAAAAACTTAGTCATGTCATACTAAGATGATAGTGTCATAATGTTGTTTCTCCCTTTACACTGCAAAAATGAGGAAATTCACTATTTTAAGAACCAGTTAGGGGCTGGGGATATAGATTAGTGGTAGAGTGTCTGCTGCAGCATCGGGCTATTTGTTACTGAAAGCTCCAAAAGTTTTGCCGCCACTGGCCTAGAGCATGTGCAAGGCCTTGGGTTTAACCCTCAGCATGGCAAAAAAACCGAAGTATACAGCATTTTTTCCTTTGAAAAATTAATAGCATGGTCAAGGACTTTATACACTAATGCACTGCTGTATTTTTGTGGTGGGCATCAAATTTAGGGCTTTGTGCATGCTAGAAGCAATCTACCAGAGTGCTACTTCCAGCCCTACTACTGTCCTTGAAATTATTCATTCTTTCACTAAATTTATTACTATAACTAGTATGTCAAGGGCCTGTCTTGATTTTTGTTACCTTTTAATGGTATGACTCTTACCTGAGCTTTTGCTTTACTTCATTGGATAGCTTTCCATAATATAGCTCTATTACCTTTATTTTTCCTTGAGAATTTGAAGAACACTTGAATGTCTTATGAAGAAATTTGCTACTTAAATAAGTCTATCAAGTTAGCTGTGCTTTGTTCTTCAGTTTTCTTGACTTGTTAAGTGTTTCTAAACCTGTTCTCTGGACCTCTGGAACTGCCCAGATTGGAGAGGGAATAGAAAACTCCTGGGGTGATCTTGAAGACTCTGAGAAAGATGATGACGATGAAGGTGGCAGTGATGAAGCTGTCATTCTTGACAGTGTGAAAATGGACACTGGAGTAGAAGTTTCTGATATTGGAAGCCAAGGTAAGTGATGATTTATAGCTTTTATGTAATCTGTTGGTCTACAAACTTATGTACAGATAAGTACTGTATATGAACTATATATGGATAAATCCGAAATCTGTGAAGAATATTGATATAGCTATATATACAGATATGCTTTCCTTTTTAGGAGGGGCTAAATGTTCTGTGATTTAAATTTCAACTAAATAAGATCAGTATTCTTGATCTTTCGTGTACATACCAAAACCTATGTTATAACACAGCATTAGCCCATAGAACTTTTTGTAATATGGAATGTTCTCTACATTGTTCACTACAGTAGCCACAAGGCCTGTGTAGCTATTAAACACCTGACATGTGACTTGGGTGACCAAGGAACTGAATTTTTAATTTCAGTATAAAATTAACTACATGAAGCTAGTGCTACCATATTACAGAGTACCGATTTGGAACTCCTAAAATTCCCAAAATGCCCAGAATATTAGTCCTCCTTGTTCTTACCTGGCCTGTGTAGTAAAACCATGAATTGCTTTATGTAATACAAATAATACCTTCATCCTGGAACTAGTCTGACAGAGAATGAGAGGATGCATTTAAGTCTGGTGACTCTGTTTAAGAATATAATGCACATAGGCCTGCCTTCATAAAAGGAAATTATTTATTACAAGCTCCTGCCTGGCAAGCGCAAGGTCCTAAGTTTATTCCCAAAATAAATAAAAAAAAGGAAATTATTGCTTGTGAATATTATGGAGAACCTACTGGGTTTTGCTTTTTGAAATTAGGCAAATAGGTGAAGGGAAAAAAATCCCCATTGATTGGAACCCTTGTACACCTTTTCCAGTGGCTTGCTTTCATTTGGTATTATTACTGCAGAAGTTGTTCAGTATATTTATTCATTATTTGGGCAGTGAAGTGGCTTCAACACAGGGACCTACTTTTAAAAGTTTTTCCATGTCACTGTGTAACATCAGCCATATTATTTTAAAATTTTTAGAATTCTGTATCACTGAATGGCCCTACTTGGTTTAACCATTCCTGTATTGATGAATATGTTGTCTCCATTTCTTCATTTCTAGAGTACTTATACTGATAGGCACCTCTTTGATTAGTACAATAATCCTTTTAAGAATAATATAAAGTTAATAGACATTCTGTTTCTGGTTTGAAGAATAATACTTTTAATCAAATAAATGAAAAGTAAACCTGAGACAACTGGGAGGATGGAACAGGTAAAGCCTTTCTAAAACATAAGCAGACTAAAAAAAACAAAAAACCATAAGCAAACTGGAAGACAATGAATCACCCGGGAAAAGGGTTAATTCACATTACAGTGTACATATACACACACAAATATATATACATATGTAAGTACAGACACATTGAAAAAAAATGAGCAAAATATGACATAATCTTTTGTTTTCCTTTTTGAGATAGGGTCACACTGTGTAGTTCAGGCTGGCCTTAAGCTTACTTTGTAGCTCAGGCTGGTCTCGAACTCACAGTGGTCCTCTTTTCTCAGCCTCCCAAGTGCTGGGATTACAGGCATGTGCCACCAGACCCTGCTAGTATGACACAATCTTAAAATAGAAATGACCTGTTAACATTTTGGTAGACCATGGTAATAAAGGAAATAAATTCAAAGAAAAAAATGACAGCATTTTTTGACTACTGTATCAGCATTCATAAATGTCTATGGGCAGTGGATTTCTCATTTATTGTTTCTGAATGTGTATTTTGGAATAGCACAGACAGCTTAGTGTATTAGCTTCATTTTCAAATTGATTCTATAAAATTACTGTATATTTTCCCCTAACTTCTCCATTACAGCATGTGGCAAGTACAGTTTAGGGTCAGTTTTCTACAAGAATTTTTCCAGAGCTCGAGGGTGCTCCTTGGCAGAGAAAGTTTGGAAAGAACAAAGTACATGTATCTGTAAGCCCCAGAATAACTTGGGCTGTTAGTATGGAAACTTATGTGGAAATTTTAAGATATTACTTACATTGCTTTCCTGACATTTTCTAGATGCCCCAATAGTACTCTCAGATAGTGAAGAAGAAGAAATGATCATTTTAGAACCAGACAAGAACCCAAAGAAAATAAGGTAACAAACTCCTGATTTATTTTTATATATATATACACACACACTTAGGATTCTAGAGCTTTGCCCTGTGGTTTTACTCTGTACTTATTCTTCTGCTATAGAAAGACATCCCTTTTGTACTATATATTCAACTATTCTTTTTCTGGTTTCTTCACTGTGATTTGAAAAAATTAGGGCACAATTTGATAAAACAGGATGTCTTTTAAAATTATTGTATTTTATTCTTATTGCTGCCACCCTCTGTATCCTATGAAGAAAACCCATTTCAGTGATCCAGCATAGTATCAGTGAACTGTTAATTTACTTTATTCACAGAACACAGATCGCCTGTACAAAACAAGAAAAAGCACCAAGTAAGAAGGCAGTGAAAAAGAGAAAAAAGAAGAGAACTACTAACTAAGTCTTACATAGTTGTATGGATGTATATATAACTATTAAAAGGATATTTATTCAGTGTTAACAATGACAGGATATATTTTATTCACAAGTTCACAAGTCCATTAAGTTGAGTTTTTTGAGGTTTTTAAATGTTATGTTTTAAAGTGAACATTCTGGGAAATTTTTTGTCTTGTCATTTTTCACAAAAGCTTTCCAACCTATCTTTACTCTCAAAACCTTAATGGGGTTTAAGTAACATTTCCCATTGTACAATAAACTATAAATCAGCCTTTCCAAGGGAAATACAGTCATAGTTTCCATCACAAAGTAAAAGTAACTGACTTACAGAAATCAAGATTTCCAAATATGTTTATTAATTCTTGTCCTGATAGCTGGCATCATTAATACTTTAACCACTTAAAATTAGCCAAATATCTAAGGTGGATACATGTACAAAAGATATACAAATTAAAACCATTTAAAAAGGAATAGATACCATAATTTGTCCGTGGCCATAATTTCTATATTCAGAAATGATTGCAAAATTAAAACCTAAAGTAAAAACTGTACACCATACACTCCAAGGGATTGAACAAGGGCAGTCTTCACTGTCACACATTTAGTGTCTCTGGGGGGTTGAGGAGAGAAACACCATGATACCTATAAGGAGGGGAAAAAAAAATCCATTTTTAGTAAACATTCACGGGATGAAGGAGATCCTAGGACAGTAATACATGCACTGGAAACTAAGTGCTGTTTCTATCTTACTAGATTTTAGAATCATTGCTGATCCTAAAACATCATGCATTCACGTCCCCAAGGAAACAAAAGCATTTACTACAGCCTTCTCCAAATACATGACCTGTTAAGAGAATAGCTTCTTAGAAGTCTGGTAGATTAGTGTATCCTTTAATAAAATGTCAGTTTCTGAAGCATATTCTGGAAAAACAATTATCTGTGTTATCTAGTCAAGTCTTACTTTGAATTTTTGTATTTTTCTCTTATTGACTGTTGTGCATGCTGTGGTGCTCTGAGGTAGGTCTGGTGAAGGTCCATGAGACAAGGCTTCAGACTCTCCAGGGTATATCCCGTCTTTCGAACTAAGGATTCAGGCTACAAAGAAGGGAGTAAGAACTAGTGAGTTATGTGGTCAGTAACACACAAAACTGCCGTACACACAATGAGTTAATAGCTGGCTCACAAGTCTTTTAACAGACAATGGACAAATCTTGTTTTCTGAGGCCACTGTTCCATCTTTTATGCTGACTTCAAACCATTTTTACTGCTTTTGCTGCCAACAGATCAGATGGAGCAAATTCTTTAGGTGCACCTTTCAAGTCCAAGTTTACAACTAAACTTTCAGGTGCCAATTCAGTAGGTTAAGATGTCCCAAAACAGTATGTATATTTGAGCAGATTCTGCAAGTTAAGATCTAGAGGGGAAACTCGCTTGGGCTCCCTTCTATCCCTCTCTCAGACAGTTTTCTTTCCTTTAATAAATATATTCTGCTTTTAAAGTAAAAAAAAAAGATGTAGGTAGTTATCAGCTCTGTGGGACTATTACTGAACTTCTCTGGTAGCAGCACTGAGTGTAAAGTTGATGTGAAAACTAATACATACCCAGCTTTGTCCTGTGACTGTGTAGAGTGCTAAATGAAAGGCCGCTCCAGCGATAACTGATGGCAAATACTTCAGGTATGGGTCAGCATCTATCAAACTTAGTTCTCCCAAAAACTGCAATGAAAAACATTCAGGGTCACAAGAGCTCTAGAACACAAATCTCAAACCTTTGCCTTCTGATACAATTTTTTCCTCTTTGATTATAGGCTGTAGTAACCCTGGACAAATATTCTACAGCCTCATCTTTTAAACATACCTACTACAGTATTTTAATGCTTTGCTCCAGTCTCCTATATTTTCCCTATTTTAAAATAAGTATCTTCTCCCAAAGCATTATCCTCAAACCCCTCCTCTACCTTCTAGGAACCCTCACCCCACTCACGCACACCCAAATCAGTGCACACCCAAGTCCCTTACAGGAAAGTACTATTTGCATATAACTTACCTTGATGATTCCCTTAAATCATCAAGATTACTTATAATACCTAACAAATACAGATTTACAGAATAACAAGGAAAAGTATATGTTCAGTATAGATTCAAGTTATTTACCTGAGTATTTTCAATCTGGTTGGTTGAGTCCACAATGCAGAACCCATAGATATGCAGGGCCAACTGTATGTCAGCCTTCTTCAATGGTAGGCTTTTTTCCCACAGTACAATATTCATTTGTCCCTGGATTACTGAATCTCTTGAGCAAAGCTATACTAGTGAAACAAGAGCTTGCTCCTAAGTATTACTTAAGAATTTCCAACAAAATGAAAATAACTTACCATTGCTAAGCTTTCAACTTTGCAGTTTGCAGGCTGCTGATGCAGAAAGTACTGGGTAAGAAACTGATTTACTGTTGGTGCAGCTAAGTCAAAAGCAAGGACTTTCAAAACTAGGTGTTCCATTCTCAGAACTTGTTTCTTTGTGTATGTATCATCTGTAATGTACACAAATTCTGCTACTTCTGGGGGGTATATTTCTTCAAACTTTCTAAAATGAAAAAGGTTTTAAACAGTAAGTCCTAAAAGGTAAGCACAAAAAAAAAAAAGAAAAGCCAGGTGTGTAATCCCAGCACGCAGGAGGCTGAGGCAGGAGGATCGTTGCAAGTTCGAGACCAGCCTGGGCTACAAAGTGAGCTCAAGGCCAGCCTGAACTGCATAGTAAGACCTCAGAAAAAAAAAAGTAAGTAGCAAGGTTCCTTATTCAAATCCTGAAATCCCATTAGCAGAATATATGGAATGATTCTAAAACTCACAGTCTACCAAATGCATTTCCACTGCAACTTGACCATCATTTCTAGCCTACTAACTGCTGCTTAAAATGCCTAAATCAGTAGGACTTCTGAGACACTGCTTACAGCTCAAAGGAAATGAATGGGAGGCATGAAGTTTCCCAAGTGAGAGCAATTCAAGAGTTCACCATGTGCCTGAAAATTTAGGAAATACAAGTCTAAGAAAATTAAACATATCACATTTTCCTTCTTAAATCTTTGTGTTCGGGACTAGGGATTTAGCACAGCAGCATAGCGCCTGCCTGGCAAGCGCGAGGTCGTGAGTTCAATTCCTGGTACCGGAAAAAAGCCAAAAAAAGAAAATTAAATCTGTGTTTATGTTGCAATGGGGAGAATATACTACTTAGGTGCCAGGTAACACTTTATATAGAGGGAATCACATACTTCTAAAGTGGTCTAGTCAGTGTACTAAAATGTAGCCAGTCTCTCTATTCAGAGTACCCTGAAATCTAGATCTTAGGAAGATTAATGTTCTGGATTAGAAGACAGTGTCATCCTTTCATTCAACTTCTACCACGTATCTCTAAATTAGCGACTCTGTCCTGTGATTCATCCATTTCTGGGCAGGTACATTTCTGTGTAGCATGTTAAAATGTTGCAAGTTTTAAAAATCATACTCTCTTCTCTATACAGAATGACAGTGATAAACCCCATGAACCAAGCTGGACTTACGAGGCTAGCAGCATAGCAGCAGTGCCCACAAGCTGAAGCTTTCCTCTCAGCACAGACATTGAGGAGAGGAACCTATCAATGTAGTTCACAGCCAAATGCAGGGTCTCATTCTGCAGTTTATATTCTTCTCCCACTTCAACTAACCAGTCCACGAGGATAGCCCTCATACTGTTAGTGATGTCTGGCTGCTTCTTCATGTAACCCACCTTAGGTTTACATTTAACCTGGTGAGAAAAGTTCAGGAGTGTTAAAGTTATAATAGATGACTTTACCATTCACAAAGATGCTACCATAAACAAGTATAGCGTAAGAGTAATTCGCACGCATGGTGGCACATGCCTGTAATCCCAGCTCTCTAGGAGGCCGAAGCAGGAGAATTTCAAGTTCAAGCCCTCCCTGGGCTACGGATGTGGCTCAGTGCAAAGGCCTTTGTATCAATTCCCAGTACCACAAAAACAAACAAAACTTAAATATTATTCTCCAAATTTAATTTACTGACATTTACTAAGTATAATACACGAACTGGAATCAAGAGAGCCTTTACCTCCATTTCCCTAAGGTATGTGTGAATATCTTCATGGTAGTCTGGCACTTCATTAACACTCACTGGTTTTTCCTCTTCTAGTGCAATGGACATGTCCATAGTATGTGGCGAATCTGGGACAGTTCAAAAGTTAGGACTGAGTTAACTTTAACGTTTTATTTGACAAAATGTCTGCCCTCGTAAGGAGTCTTGACACTATCGAGGCATTTATTTCTTTCATCCAACTGAGAGACTTCTCATGGCAAAGTGCACACAATATCTGACTCTGATGTCAGTATCTCTGTCCATACAGCATTACAATGATTCTACTTTGAAAAAGAATTCTCAAAAGACTAACCAGAGGGTGGAGATGGTACAATGGTTTTGTTAGGACCAAGAACTTAAAATCCAAGTTTTGAGATAGTATCTAAGGTTTGCCCTGAAAGACTGCAGACCTCATGGTATGACATATTCAAAGCAATTTAGATAATAGCTAGAATCAAGTCACATGGTTTCTAATAAGTGTTAATGAAATAATTGTTTTTATAGGAGTTCAAATAGATTAACACTATAATCAATAAGTGACTCTTTTTATAAATTTTCTTTTGAGATAAAGGTAATTTTTTCCCACTTCAGTGATCATTTTTTTATTTTAAAAAATAAAAGAACAAAAACATACTAACAAATCCATGATCATTTTGATGTTAAAAACTTCTTGCAAAATTCAATGGGCTAGGGGTATAGCTCAGTGGTATGGCACTTGCCTACCATGCATGGGGCCCTAGGTTCAATCCCCAGCACAAACATCAAATACAATTTTTTTTGCAAAATTTGAATAAAAACGAATTATTTCCAAGGATCTTCTTGCTACAACCCACCAGCCAATCAGTGGAACTAAAACTAAATTGAACTAGATTCAGTGAGCTATCCTGTGACTCAACAGCTCCACAGTAAAGTAACAGCACAAATTGCAGATCTGTCTTTCGCAGCTACAAATGGGTGAGGGCAAATAGACACCTTCTGACTTGCAGGGCAGGCTCACTTTCTGGTATCACAGGATCCACTCAAACCAGTTTTACAGAAAGAAATGGGAGGTTTCACAGTATGTAAGACTTCGCTTTCTACCCTCTATTCTTTGAAGTGGAGGTAAGAAGCCAGTCTTCTGAATACAAGCAAACATTTGTGGGGCAGATTAAGCATTCAAGATCTAATCATATTAGTCGGGGAAGGAGTGCCAGATTAGGATTTGATGCTTTTGTAGGTCACTAGGTCAAGTGTTACCAGGGACATCTGAAATAAATTACACCCATCCTAAGCCTATTAGGAGTAAAACTAACTCATTAAAGCAGTGTCTTAATATGCAAAACAAATACAAATATACAAATAAGTATACTTTGACAAAGACTTTCCTTAACACTTACCAAAACTACCATCCATTGGATAATCTAGAGGTACCAGTGGTTTTCTCGGTCCAGGTAAAGCAACAGCTGCATTAAAAGCCAGGACATCTTGGCACTCCGGCTTTGTAGATTCTGCTGGCCTCTTCTGAGTGTCCTCTTCCACTTCATCCACGTGGATAGTGAAGGCAGGCTGTTTACTGTTTGCTTTCCAAGGCGGCAAAGCAGCAACGTTCTCATCATTGACAGGAAGATCTTTAAGAGGTGCAACCTAAAGGGAAATGACGTACTGGCTTTCAATTTAGTAAATGCAGTTTGCCTTCTTCCCCGTATGGGTCTGAGCCTTTGCTTTTACTCGCAAATACATTATTTGGAAAATTAAACTGAGACAAAGTTCAGGAATAGTTCTGAGCAATCCAGCGCATGTTTCAGCGTGTCACAAGCATCCCTACAAAGAGTAAGTGGAACGAAGTGGCATTATAAACTAATCAAGGCTGGGTGACAAAAATTAGGTAAGTTGAGGAAAAGGTATGGGAAAACAATACTGTTTCACCACTTTCGCCCCAGGGTGGAGCAACAGAGCAAATCTGGCTAAAATGGCGGAATTTGCCAAAAGCTAAGTACTTTTCATACTTTCTCCTCAAGTACAGGTAATCTCTTAAGCAGATAGTGAAAGAGAAGAGAGCCAGGTCGTGGGGACAGTGCTCGGCGTTTCAAAGCGGAGGGAAAGGCACAGAGCGAAGTGGCGACAAGACTCACGTTTAAGACTTGGTCTGTCCCATTCCGTACACAGAAAGATGCCTTCCACCCGGAGCAGACTGGCAGCACAAGCACAGTGCCTACGGGCTGTACTGCTAACAATCACGGCAGAAAACTACAGCCACACCTTACACACTACAAAGAAGGGACCGAGTGGGCTCTAAATCCAAGCCCCTTTAAATAAAAAGGAAAGAAAAGCCCGAGAACGCTTTCTAGGCACTGCTGTCCGCCCGCTTCGTCCCTGCCCAGCTCCCGTGCAGACCACCCTCCTACAGCGGAGTCGCATCCACCTACCCGCCGCGTCTTGGGCCTCTGCTGCGGCGCCGAACACCGCGCGTTCCCGGCCTTCAGCACCGCCAGCCCGGCCTGCGGCCGCGGCTGCTGGGCGGGCGCCGCCTTCTCCGGGTTGATGTTCTCCTGGTCCTCCTGGAGCCCCGCCTGCTGCAGGGTTCGCAGGGCCGAGCCCGCCTCGCGGGCCGCGGGCTTCGGCGCGGAGCTGCCCAACATCGCGGCTCCCGGGGGCGGCGGCGGGATCAGCCGCGGCGCCAAGCAGCGTGCACTCCGCCGCGCGCCGGATCACGTCGACCTCGCCGAGGAACGCTCCAGCCCGCGGCGCAGCCACACCCCGAGCCAGCCTGCCCGCCGCCCGCTCACCCGGCTCGGCCCGTGCTGGACGGAGGAGGGCGCCAAGTATGGAGGCAGGCGCAGAGCGGCGCGGGGGGCCCAGGACGCCCCGAGAAGTAGCGAGCAGCCCGCCGGGGCCGCGGCTGTTCTTGCAGTTCAAGTAGCCCGCGACTATTGAAATGGGCCAATGAGAGCCGCCGCCGCCCTTGACGTCACTGCTGCGACAGGGTCGCGGGCCAGGGCAGGCTGCCGCGGAGGCAGTGAGCGGGGCGGGGCGCCGGCAGGGCGAACTGCGGAGGGAGGGAAAACGCCTGCGCCGGCGGAAGGGCGCGGGAGGCGGAGCCCAGCGCCGCGCGGCTTTAAACCGAGCTGCAGGGCGGTCCCGAGCGGGTCTGAAGGCGGGAGCTGCAGCTCACCCGTCTAGGACAAACGGAATTAAACTTCAGCAACTGTTAGCGGGCCGCCCACTGTAGTCCGGACCTCTGCTCCTGCTGACGACGCGCTTCCCGCAGCCTGCGAGTGACGAGGCCCCCGCCTGGGAGCGATCGGTCTGTGCGGACTCAAGGGGACACGTCATCTGACCGCTGCTCACTGAGGCCAGTGGCAGGCTCCCAGAGATGCGCATCTGACCACTGAGCTCAGCACTGTGTGCGATGCCGAGGGCTGAACTCGGGGTCGGGCGCACACCACCACCCACTCACATCCCCAGCCCCGTCTTACGCTTTTTATTTTTCCTAATTTAGATGCTATCGATTCAAAACGCCACCTTGCCCTACCACTTGTACTGCAAAGAAATTCAAATAGTCATAACTTTTTTGTCCTTTATCTCCCGGAGCAGGGCCAATCAAAAAGCACACAGTGAAATCCTAGTGAGCCAGAGTTCTTTTTAATGTTCTATTTAGCAAGGAAGGTTGTTTAAATACAGTAAAAATGGGGGTTAAGCCGCACCACTTCCCCTTAAATACAGTAAAAACAATAAGCCCTTATTAAAATAAAATTTAAACATATGTGCCTTAAGTTTTTTTCATTTAATATTCAACGATTGCACATAATTAAGAAACATTGTTTTCTGAAAAATGTATAAATTTACCCTTTTTTTTGTCTTTTTGAGACAGGGTCTCACCATGCAGTTCAGGCTGGCCTTGAGCTCACTTTGTAGGCCAGGCTGGTCTCGAACTAGCAATAATCCTCATGCCTCAGCCTCTGGAGTGCTGGGATTACGGGCATGCGCCACTACGCCCAGCCCCTTACCCTTTTTGTGTGTGTGGCTTTGTGAAATAGGGTCTTGCTATGAACTTCATACTGGCCTTGAGCTCACTATGTAGCCCAGGTTGGCTTTGAACTCACAGAGATCCTTCTGCCTCAGCCTCCCCAGTGCTGGGATTACAAGCATGCACTACCATACCCGGCTCCATTTACCCTTCTTGAAAACAGAAAACAGCTTATTTTTCATTGTCTTTATGCCATTCAAAAACCTTTAAATACAACATTCCCCTGAAATAAATATGAATTAAGATTAACGAACTGCAGTGAGACCGTCTCAACAAGACAAAAAAAAAAAAAAAGATTAATGAACAAAATTTCTGGAATTTGGAAGTCTTCCTTTCCTTCATATATAACAACAAGGAAGTTAGTGGGTACTCATGCAAGAAAACTCTTAGCGCCTATCCCTCACTTGTATATTTCTACAGCTCAACTGGTTGGGCAAATCAAGTTCACATCCCTTTTCTTTGGTAAGCGCTGTTTATTCCCCTGCTCATAATTTACAGCACTGAGCCAAGCAGCAGGGTCCTAAAATGTTACCAAGCAAGAGAGAAATCAGCTGCAGATTACTTCCAACTCCTAGAAAAAAAATTGGTAAATTATTTCCACTGATTGTGATACACAAGAACCAAGACACAAACCAGGTTATCAGAACTTGGGTTCTGGTCCTGCTTTACAGATACTAGCATGTCCTCTTAATTACTTAACAACATGGAAAATCCATTTTCTTACAGTATTTGACAAAGTTATAAGACAGGAAGATTAAGTAAGGTATTATATAGAAATAAAAATTTTGAAACATGTAGTTTATGCATTTATGTACTGTATATTTCATAAAAAATTTGACATTTTATTTTCAGAACATTTCTCAATTTAAAACATCCACTTGCCAAAAAAATTCATTAACATTTCTTTATAATCATTCAGCTTGCTGGGCGTGGTGGTGTACGCCTGTAATCCCAGCACTTGAGAGGCTGAGGCAAGAGGATCGCTGTGAGTTCCAAGCCAGCCTGGGGAACAAAGTGAGTTGAAGGCCTGCTTGAACTGCATGGAGAGACCCTGTCTCAAAAAGACAAAAGTAAAAATAAAATAATCATTCAACTGGTTTTAAAATAAAACTTTTTAAATAGTTTCATGTGTCAAAAAAAATAGAAGTTTTACATTAAAAACTCATATCTCAAATATTTTTAGATATTAAAAGTCAGCTTGTTGCTGGGTGTGGTGGCAGACGCCTGTAATCCCAATACTTGGGAGGCTGAGGCAGGAGGATCATTGGGAGTTCGAAGCCAGCCAGGGCTACAAAGTGAGCTCAAGGCCAGTCTGAACTCCATAGTGAGACCCTGTCTCAAAAAGACCAAAAAAAAAAAAAAAAAAAAAGTCAGCTTGGGAATCTGCTTTAACATTTTTTGATAAGCACACTACTATTTGGGGATTTTACCTTACTTACCTTTCATGCTGCATCAAAGAAAGCAATCAATGCATTTTGGTCATAACTGTCCAGAATCTCCAGCAGAAGAGGGACTTTGGTTTTTACATTGGTGCCTTTGAATTTAAACTTATCTATGAAGAGATCAGTGATCATGCCTGTAAAGAAAAATGTTTTTTAATGAAACAGAGTAATTGCTTGATAATGTATCTGCAGCACCTGAAAGTCCATTACTTACTATACACAAATCTAAAAGAGTTGATAATTTAAAAAATATTCATGGGGGGGTTAAGGCAAGTTTCAATACATAAATATTTACTTAATACTCTTCTTTGTTGGTGTTTTTTTGTTTGTTTGTTTTTTTCTTTTGTGGCAAAGTCTCACTCTGCAGTTCAGGCTGGCCTTGAATTCACCATGTAGCCCAAACTGGCCTGGAACTTGTGGTAATCTTCCTGTCTCAACCTCTCAAGTGCTGGGATTATAGGGTGTGTCACCATGCCCAGCTCTAATAATTGTTTAACAGCTATTTAATAAATTATTATTTCAGACAATCAACCACTGGCCAGTTTTGAATAGCTATTGGTATATATGACATTTTTCCAATCAAGCAGATTCTGTTAACAGTTTTGTCTAAATTAAAATATTCCATCTAGATGATCATTCTTGGGATATGAACTGGAGGCCAAGAGTGCTGGCTTCAAGAATCTGGCAAATTATTTCACCTTTGTATTTTTCCAGATGTAAATGAGGAATAGTTCAAGCTGTCAGTCCTTTATCTAAAACCCTTGGTACATGATGCACTGCAAAATTTTTCGTATTTTAGGGAGAGAATAAAAGGAAAGTACCCTTTGTAATATTAACTCAAGGGACTGAGTGTCAATGTCTGATAATAAAACTAATATTTTTACAACAAAATATATGGATGAATATTTGCAATAAATAAAATTTAAAAGATCAGAAATAACCTCGTGTCAAATTTGTCATCAAATTATACACACCAAATCACATTTTGCTGCCAAATGATGCAGTAAAAAAGCTTTCTGGATGGATTTTGGAATCACTGAGATTGGCGGGTCTTCACCAACCATCATGTAGGTTATTAGAAGGATAAAGGAGGTCTTGTGCTTGCTATATAGGATATTAGGATATTATTTAAGATATTATGTAACATTAGGATTTGTGGGAAAATTGCTGGATATATAATAAGAAATTTATTAAGAAATATATATAAATAGAATAGAATATAGATATTAAGAATATAATATAAATATTACAGAAGAAATATATAAAAAGAAATTCAGTGGACAGATTGAAGGCTCAACATGGATTGATAATACCAATGGAAGCGGGGTGCTGTGGCACACACCTACAATCCCAGCACTCTGCAAGGCTGAGGCAGGAGAATAGCGAGTTCGAGTTCAGACTGGAAAATTTAGTGAATTAGTTAGACCCTGTCTCAAAAAAATAAAAAAGAACAAAAGGGGGGACGAGTGCTGGGGGAGGGTGTGGTTCAGTGCAAAGCCTCTGAGTTCAATTCCTAGTACTGAAAAAAAAAAAATACCAATTGCCTGTGCATGGATCAGATAGTGCAAAAAGCATACATTCCAAAGTGCGAAGTTTCCAGGGCAGGATTTCCATCTAACTAGGTATGGGACGACAAACTCTTCCGTCTCAGATTTCATTTAAAGACATAAAATGTGAACATAACACCATACCATCTACCTTGCAGAGCTGTTTACAGTAAGGGTTAAATATCTCGTTTGATTATGAAGATGACATTAACAGTGTGCTACCAACAAAACCTTTTCTCAGCTGGGTGTGGTGATACACTCCTATAATCCTAGCTGTTAGGAAACTGGGGCAGGAGGTTTCCAAGTTTGAGGCCAGCCTGGGCAATTTAGCAAGACCCTGACTTAAAACAAAAAGCCCTAGGGAAGTAGTTTAGTAATCCCTGGGTTTAATCTGAATACTGGGGGAAAAAAAATGCTTTTCTCAAGCTGTTCCTCTTTCCCTCCTTCCCTTCCTCCCTCTGTCCTTTTCCTAACCTCCCTTATGCCTTCTCTTTCACTCAGTACAATCTGTGAAACACCCAACTTACTATCACTAAAGCCAAACAAGTTTTAAACTATAAATTGATAGGTGCAAACATCTCTTATTAAATTTTGACTAAAAATATTAAATGCTGCATTTCTGTATTACATAATAGCAGTAATATTTGAAAATTTGTTTAGCCAGGCATGGTGGTGCACACCTGTCCCCCAGCACTCTGTAGGCTGAGGCAAGAGAATTGTGGTGAGTTCGGATCACCCTGGGTTACATATGTGAGTTCAAGGACAGCCTGTACTACACAGTGACAGCCTGTATCAAAACACACACACACACACACACACACAAACACTCTAAAATAATGTATTGGTTACAAGTATGTCTAAATGCTGTTCTGTTTTGAGACAGAGTCTTGCATGTAGCCTAAGCCTGAAATCATGATCCTCCTTCCACAGCCTCTGTGATGCTGGGATTACAGATGTGTAGCACAATGCCCAGCACACACAGTTAAGTTCTTAATACTTCATAAATTTTATTCATTTTATGCCATCTTGCATCATATATAAAAATTCACCACAGTATAACTTCACTTCTTAAGTTTTACTAGCATTTTATCAAGTAAAAATACTAAATTTTAAAACTAGTTTGACATGATACAAAAAATTCTGTGCAGTAAATTGGCTGCCACTGATACAACTTTTGTCTTTCTGCTTAACTTTTTCCTATGACTTCCATAAAAGTACTTGTTGAAAAGAAATACAGCAAAGTATTCTAGAACAGTGCACTAACCATAGAGTCTTTCCAGATGTGCGGGTTGCTTTTTGTATTCTTCCTGGAGGTGATCTGCCTCTTCCAGAATACTACGATATTCTGGTATCAAAAAGTTCGTATTTCCCTCATGAACCTGCAACTCCTTTTGAAAATCAGTGAAACAGAAACACCTTAATGTTCATAATTCAGTACAATGTAACATGAAAGTATAATTTTAGAAATTCCATTACTTAAAATATGATCTTGAACCCATGACATAACTTACTTTTAAAGCATCAATCAACTGCACTTTCTTAGCTAGAAGCAACTGGTATTCCAGCTTTGGGTGGATGAGTTTTAATGTGTGCTTGACGGATACTTCACTTATCTCTGGAAGAAATTAGTCAGGCACAATTAGATAAATCACTGCCATCAGAAACATTATTACCATAAAAACAATAACTACAAAAAATAATAAAGAATGCTTAATTTTTCATACCGTATGATATGTTGAGGTTAATTTTCCTTTTTGTAGCTTCTTTAGAAAGCACATCTTTCAGGATGGATATTGTAGAAATGTTGTCAGATTTAAAAACTCCTTCTCCTTTTCTATAAAATTAATATATTTTTAAAAGACAAGCTGTAGAAGGAATTATACACATAAATATGTATTTTATGATAGTACTCAGTGTTTAGAACTTACTTGATTTTAAGTGTCTCTGTATATCATTAATATAAAGCATATTAAATGCATTATCTTTTACTACTGTATTAATTCAGCTTTTAATCATACTGATAAAACTAAAGATGGCAGATATATGCCTCATAATGATGTAATTTAAATAAGTACTTCATTTAAAACTTTTTTCTTCATTGTCGTTAGTATTTTCAACAGCATTTAGAATTGCTTACTTACATATACAGGTTTTGTTTTTCCTTGATGTAATCACACTAGTGACAACCTGATGAACACTTCATCCTTGAAAGAAATCTCGTATCAACCCTGAGGCCTTCTCCTCTCTCCTCCTTCTCATCCACATAATTTCAGTGGCACTAGTCTCAGTCTACTTCTAGGACTTTAGGAGGAAGCTTCACAGTACATTCCACACACGTGAACACAGTGGTTCAGGGCTTATGACAAAGATATTCAACCCTGGGACTGCTCCTGAAACTAGTATGAAAGAGAGAGGCTCTCTGCCTCCTGAAAGATAAAACCTAGATTTCAGGAGCTACGTTGCCACTACCATACCACTACATGGTAAAGCCAAGGAAAGACAAAAACAAAACAGAATGGGAAAGGGTGAAATCCTGATGACGTCAGTTAAGCCACTGATCAAGTTGTACCGGGGGCAAATTACTGGTAGACTTCGTAAGTTATCTAAGCAAGTAAATTCATTTTATTTGGCCTATGTTTGCTTTGTTTTTAAATGACCCAAAATCTCCTAACACATACCATTTTTCACATATTCCATGTTGCCTTTTCACTTGGTTTTCATGTGCACATACACACAAATCATTATACTGCTCAGCTGTAGGCAAATGTTAATTGTTTTTCTAAAAAGATAAATAATACTCCATTATATTGATCTCAATTATGTTTTAGAAATCATGACATTTTTACTAGTCTTTCATCCTAACAGAAGGTATCTAGTAAATGCACAATGTCAGGCACTGTGAAATAACTTACATGGTGCACCTTTAAATTGTCACAATTCAATGAATTCAGTGCTATTATTTAAAGAAACTAAAGCTCAGACAGTTAAGTAACCTAGGTCACATAGCCAATGAGTCACGGAGCCATGAGTCAAATCTAACTATGGCTGCTTTCAAAATATACATACATGTACTTTATTCAGGAACTTGAAAGACCTACTATATTGAACACCTACTGTACGCAAATTCATGCATACAGTTAGTACCGGGAAGCTATATACACAGATGGTTTTAAAAAACAGACTATGTCCATGAAAATACAGTGTAAAATAAAGACCAAATCATACATAAAAATTATTATATCCTCCAAGCAAATACCAATGAATACCAAGGACAGGTGAGAATAAAATGCTGAGGGAACTGTGGGTGTGGCTCAGTGGTAAAATGCTTGCCTTGCATACATGCAGCCTTGAGTTTGATCTTTAGAATCAAGGGGGAAAAAAGCTATAGGAACAGAGCAGAGAATCAAAGCAAGCTTCAGAAATGGCTGTTAGATTGGACCTTGAAGGATAGATATTTTTTTGGATGGTTAGTTTTATGTTATTTGTATTTTGCCACAATGAGCTATTTTTCAAGGTAATTTTAATCACCCCTGGGAAGGAGTTCACAGAGAGTTCCAAATTGCCAAGAGGTTGTGGTCTTACTCAGGGTCTCTGGACAGGGCGTGTGGGTGGAGGATAAATAGTTCTGATGGTCAAGAAAAGAATATAGAGTGGTAAAGGGAAAAGGTAGGCTATTATAAAAATATATAAAATGCCAGGGAGATGTTGAACTGTCTGCTGTGATTAACTTGTGAGGTTCATGTGGTGCGTCACAACGGGAATAGTTATATATATACACATTTTTTTTTTTTTTTTGGTTTTTTTCCGGTAATGGCAATTGAACTCACAACCTTGCACTTGCCAGGCAGGCGCTGTGCTGCTGAGCTAAATCCCCAGACCCCAGGGAACAGTTATAGATTTAGATGTGAAGGAACTTCTTAGAGCATACAGTAAACATCTCCACAGAACTAGAAGCTTGAGAGGAGTGCAAAGAACCTGACCACTCCACACTGTCACATGACGGCTTCACAAAGCCTGCAGCTCTAAGCCCTGAAGTTCTAAGCCATTCCGTATTTTGGCATAAAGAAATTCAACCAGAATTTTTATGGGAATCAGCATAAACATTCAAATCAATTTTGGAAGGACTATGTTATGGCTTGTATCTAGATGTCCCCAAAGCCTCATGATGTCATAGATGGGGTTTTTCAGGGGTGGCTGATTCTAGAGTGTATGATGCTGGGATAAAGTGTGTGATGCTGATATCCAGGGTGTATGGCACTAAACGAGTCATGGATTGGTTTGGCATAGCTCTGGAAGTTGATAATGGGAAGGCCACCCTGGTTGTCAGTACTACCTGCCTTAAGGAGGTATCCTTAAGGATGTATAGCCTGGATACAATTTAAGCGACAAAAAGTGGGCTGCTGTAATGGCTTGCTACTTGCTGCCTTCTGCCTGCCATGAACTGTTTCACCTCTGTGATTCCCCTCTGCCATGCCACATTGCCTTGGAGCCAGCCAACTACGGACTGAAACCTCCACAAACTGTGAACCAAATAAACCTTTCCTCCCTTCACTTTGAGTGTCGGGTATTTTGTCTCAGCAACAAGAAAAGCAATTAAGACAGACTGCCATCTCTGCTGTATCTTTGCATTGATGACTACAGGATATATTCTTCCATTTAATCAAGTTTTTCATAGCAATAAAATTTTATAGTTTTCTTCATTTAAATTCTGCATATTTCTGCCAGGCATGGTGGTGCACACCTGTAATCCATTACTGGAGGCTGAGGCAGGAGAATCATTGTGAATTCGAGGCCGGCCTGAGCTACACAGTGAAACCCTGTCACAAAAAAAAAGGACTGCATATTTCTAACTAAGAGTATTCCTACAGATTTTATGTGGACATTGGGTTATGCTATTGTCTTGCCAATGTTACTCCTCTATTTTTTAAAACCATTTTCTAACTGCTTATTGTTATTGCTGGGAATTTAGGGAAGGTATTGATTTTTGCATATTTACCTTTATTAACTACTTTTCTAAACTCATTAATTCTATTTGTTTTCCAGGAGGCTCTCTCCAACAGTGTAAGCTTTTAATCCTACTATCTAGAATTATTCCCACCTTAAAACAAATGAGAACTTTGATGCACCATTTCCATAAGGCAGCACATGTCATCAGTAATAAGTTTGATTCACCTGTAGGTACTTTCAAGTTGCGTATCCAGGAAGGTGTTCTGAAAGTAAAACGTTATACATTCTCCTGCTGGAGGTTTTTCAGGGACTTCAGGAAGGCAGAAAACCACCCAGGAGTGAACTTCAGCAAAACTGAACTGACCTGTGAGAGTCAGTGTATTCATGGGTCTGTAATGTAACAACAGAGGCATACATTTGTGGATGAGAATATTTAAAAGTATTATATGTGCACATTTACAAGCAGAGTTTTATAACAGCAAAACAAATCTTTTAGAAAACATTTCTGTTTTCAAAAACATTTATATTTTCTTGGATTAATCTCATACATCAAAAAATATTTTAATTTTATGAAAAAAACTGCTTATTTATACCTACCCTTGAACTAGACATTTAAATGTTTAGTTAAGTAATACACATTGCTCTTTTCCATTATAACATGCTTCACAAATAAATTTGAGTGTACTCAGTAAATTGTATTTTTCAACAGTTCATCTAGTATGTCACTAGATCAACTACAAAACATGTGTGACTCTTCCCAGAGAAGGCATCAGAAGGCCAGGCGTGGTGGCGCACGCCTGTAATCTCAGCACTTGGGAGGCTGAGGCAGGAGGATCGTTGCGAGTTCGAGACCAGCCTGGGCTAGAAAGTGAGTGCAAGGCCAGCCTGGACTGCATAGCAAGACCTTGTCTCAAAAAGACCAAAAAGAAAAAAAAAAAAAAAAAAGAGAAGGCATCAACATTATGTGAAGGCAGAGTTGGGCCTTCAGTAAGCCAGGCATGGATTTGAAACCCTGCTCTTACATACGGTAAGTTAGAGGAAACAGTACCTTCTGCCTTGCAGGATATAGAATAGTTTCTATCTTGCAAAAACATATAATAAAGGAATAAGGAAGAAAGGGGATAAAAAAATGAGTAAATGTAAAATAAATTAAGTCGATAATTATAGAATTGCAAAATACAAAGCACATGAAATGAAAAGTTCAGAAGAAACTTTTGAGATAATCAAGACCAGTCCTCTCATTTGTAAACAACAAGCCTAAATTCTGCAGAACTTAAATTATTCCTCAAACCACATAGGAATGTACTGTAATCTAACTCTCTGGTTCCCAGTTTGTTGTTCCTTCCAACACACCGTGCTGTCCCCAACTTTGACTTTTAGGCGGGAAGACTGCCCCTACCCACAAATCTATTCTCTTTAATGTCTTCCAGAAATCTTCCTTAGGAATTTTCTTCTTACATCTTAAATTACATATCTTTTAAATTACATAGTGCACTGGAAAGAACATGGGCTTTGACCTCAAATCATAGCTTTGGTTCTTTTATTAGAAAGTTACTTTTCTAAGCCTCATTTGTCATTTTACAAATGAGAGTCTTGCCCTGCCTGGCTGTAAGAATTTTAATGATAATACATGAAGACCTAACAGTGTGTGACCCAGAGGAAGTATTCCATTACTGTTCATGTCATTCCCTCCTCTTTCATTTGAGCCTATGTGCTCTTGCCCTGAAATACAATAAACAGGAAGATGCTTAAATTGGAATCAGAGCAGAAATGATAGGAACTATGACAATCAATTACTCTTCCAGGATTTCCTGAAGTGAAACAAAAAGAAAATGCAATATTTGAGGCTGACAAAATAAAGCCTTAGTCACACAGAGCTGTACAACCTAAAGACTAAATAGTATTTGCTCATAATAGATGTTTGAGAAAACTGCTAAAGATGTCAACATGGTACTACGAAAGGAAATCCGGAAAGTCTAACTTGACAACTTCTAAAATAAGATAATCTTATACTTATTAGAAATATTAAATCTCTAGATAAGCATTAAACCCACAAGTTGAAATAACTTTAATCTTTACATTCAGAAACAGCTACTAGAATTTATACTGCAAAAATAAAACACAAGATAGCTGCCCGTAATGGCACATGCCTGCAATCCTAGGCAGGCAGATCACCACAAGTTCAAGACCATTATAGGCTATGTAATGAGTTCAAGGACAATCTAAACTACATAATAAAACCCTGTCTCAAAAAACAAACAAACAAATTAAAAAGCACAGGTTTATCTGAATAGTGTAGTAACTTAAAAGTAAACCTCTTTCTCCTTTGTCCTACCTGTCAGGATCAATAAAATGAGTTCTCTGATGAAGGGAAAGGGGTTTGATGTGGTACTGGCGGACCTGACAGGTTTTGGGTTGAACTCTTGGAGTTACATATGCTTGAAGTGTACCGTACTGGCCTTCAATTGAACGAATCTGTGCAGTATAAAAAAAAAAGTAAGAACAATTTGGAGCATAAACATATTTTTTAAATGTTCAACACAAATTACTGAGTACTTATGTTTTCATCTCTTTTGTATTATTTTGAGAGATATAACGGCATTCTGTTAAACACTTTTTGCCACTTGAGTAAGAAAAAGTCAATACGATTTTGACAGTCAACAGTAAAGTTAACTGATTTTAAGTTATCCCCAGCACATATTCTCAGTTGATTTGTCTACATTTAACAACCCCTTGCTATTCTAAGATAAGATATATATTCTCACATACTACCCTACCACATCTACAAAGACAGATGCATATTTCACAAGAAAAATGTTTAAAATTTAGATATTTTTGTTGAACAGATTCAAGTGCGTTTTCAAAATAATCAAAACTCATCTAGAATACTTCATTTTCTCAGGAATGAGGATCATACTCACAGAGGTATTGTTATAAAAACCTATTGTCAGAAAGAAATATTTTCAATAATTTAATTTTTGACTTTCTGGGTGAACAGAGAAGCAATACCACACACTAATTATGCATATTTGGTCTGGAATACTCTTTCAGGCTGTTTTGAACACTGCTTGTTGGATATCCTGAGATTTTAAAATACTTAACAGAAGTGATTTATTAAACTGTGAAGAGGTAATTTAAGGGGAATGCCAATGACCCCCCTGCTCTCTCTCTCTGCTTCACCTCCTGGGGCAGACTGTAGTACCTCTGTATTCCAAAGCAAACCTTCTGATACCGTCACCTACAACTTCTGTGGCATGTGAGGAAGAATCATATTTTACCAAAGTGAGAAATATAAATGAAAGATTACAGCAAGATTTTTTTACATATAGGAAGAGAGAAAAGATAAAACTAAGGAATAAAAATTCAGAAAGAAAAACTAGATCTAATAAATCCACACTTTGGGGTTTATTTTTATATTATTATTATTATTACTATTACTTTGGATTCTGAGGTTTCACTATGTAGTTCAGGCTGGCCTTGAACACACTGTGGTTCTCCGGCCTCAGCCTCGCAAGGGCTGGGATTACAGATGTACACCACTATGCCCTGCCTGGAATTTATTTTTCAAGGGTAGGCTTACACTGGAAACAAAAATTTTTCTGCAAAAAAGAGCTTTAATAACCAATGTAACAATTTTATATAAAATTTATTGTTTTTAATGAATATAATAATTTATATTCATTATTTAAGAATTCAAACAGAAAAATTAGGACAAACATACAAGGTTCCTGAACTTGTGCTACTCAGAGATGATCATGATTACTATTTTGGTGATTATCTTTTTATATATCTATGTATATGTGCACTAAAATACCATATAATTTCACATGAATGTATTTCTATCACAGATAACTTTGGTTTTACTTTTTTAATTAATTAAGTTTATGGGTACATTTTAGGTATATATCATGGTCACATTTATCATAGGGAATCTGTACCTGCACATAATATAACTTGATTCTTTTTTTTCCCTTCCCCTCCCCTTCCTTTAACCCCTCTTCCCCTTTTTTCAAAAGCTTTGTTTCTTCTCCCCTTATTTCCACCCCAACTACTATTCTCTGCCTCCCAATCATCCTGCTCTTGCCTCTTCCATATAGTATGACTGCTGTATCCCACCGGGATGTTTTCTTCCAAATCTTTTGTTAGGGTTTACATCTAGATGCTCCCAAAACCTCACAGCTCATAGGCAGGGCACTACGGAGGTGATCGGCTCATGGGGTGAGATACTTTTCAGTGGATTAGTCCACTAAGTTTTTGGGTGTTTTTGTTTTTAGAGACAGGGTCTCACTATGTAGTCCAGGCTGGCCTCGAACACGCAGTGGCCCTCTTGCCTCAGCCTCTGGAGTGCTGGGAATGCAGGGGTGTGCCACCAGGCCCAGCCCTCTGATGAGCTTAGTTAAGGGTGATGTTGACAAGTGAAACCGGGTGGAAGGAGATGAGTCACTGGCCATGTGGCCTGGAAGGGTTTATCTTCCTCCTCTTTTGTTCTTTTGTTTTTTAAAACAGAACCTCACCCTGTAGTTTAGGCTGGCCTTGAACTTGCACAGCAATCCTCCTACCTCAGCCTCTCCAGTGCTGGAATTATGCTGGGCACTCTCTTCTCCATGATGGGCTTTTGATTCCCACCATGCCCCCACAAGGTACTTCTCTGCTACGCCCTTCTGCCATGCTGCCCTGCTGCCCTGCCTTGAACCACCTGTCTACGGACTGAAACCACTACAAACTATAGCCTAAACAAAACTCTTTTATGTCGTGGGTGTCCAGTATCAGCTCAGCAACAAAAAATGTAACTAAGACACCTTTCTTCATCTCAATACAGAGATTTTATCTTCATTTTGCATTTTTCAGGAATCCCTACATGCTAACAGGTACAGTATACTGTAGATCCAGCTCATGCTCTACAGTAGCTGTGTAATATTCCAAACCATGGCTGGGCATGGTGGCGCATGCCTATAATCCCAGCACTCACGAGGATGATGAGGCAGATGGACTGTGAGTTCAAGGGCAGCCTGCACTACAAAGCAAGACCCTGTCTCAAAATAAAAACAAAGAAAGGAAAGAAAAAAATCCATGGTATGGAGTTATTTATTCAGCCATTCAGTCTTTGTGAGTATTCCCTTTGGCTCCACTTTACTGCCTCTGAAAGCAATGCTGCAATTAACTATATACACATCTCCATGTATATTTCTGACTTTCTTGCTATTAAATAGACACTCCTAAATGGCTGCTGCTACCTGTAAACTGCTGTAATGATTTGTATTTCCATCAGCTATGATTGAGAGTGGCCTTTTACTCATCTCTGTCACGTAGTAATGTTGTTCCTTAGTATTTTTTGAGTTAGATAAGCAGAAATTGCTTTTTGTTGTCTTAATTTGTATTTTCCTGAGAATAAAGTAGAACTTTTTGTATGACAGCTATTTTGACACCCATTATCATTTGTGTCTAGATGTCTCCCAAAGCCTCATGCAGTCAAGGAGGCAGGTTTTTAGAGTTTGTGACTCACTCATGGTCCAATGTTGGGATTATGGATGTGAGTGCTACACCCGCCCTGGGGCAGGCAGCCTGCATACAATATAAGGAAGGGAAAGAGGCTTGCTCTCTGGCTCATCCCTTTCTGCTCTTGCTGCTTTTGCTATTTTCTGCCACCATGAACAGTTGCCCTTTGCCATGTGCTGCTCTGCCTTGGAGCCAGCCGAGTGTGGACTGAAATCTCCACAAACTGTGAGCTAAATAAACCTTTTCTTCCTTAACTCTGGGCATCAGGTATTTTGTCTCAGCAACAAAAGAAAAGTAGCCAAGACATCCCCCTTTTATGAACTGCCCATTTCCAAATACTGTACTTTTTTTTTTTGAGACAGGCTCTCACTATATATTCCATGCAGGCCTTGAACTCAAAATGGAGCCCAAGCTGGCCTCAAACTCAAAGTGATCTTCCTGCTTCTGCCTCAGAGTGCTAGGATTATAGGCATTTACTACCCCATTTGAATTAATATCTGCATACCTTGCCAATTTTCCTTCTTCACTAGTCTTCTTTATAGATAGGTTATAGGCTATCTTTATATTTTATTTGTATTTTCTTCTTTTTTTAACAACCAGGCACTTAATTCACTTAATTTATTATATGTGACATAAGACTCCATTAGAGTTGGGGGGCCATGCAAGAGGCTCTGGGTTGGGCCCCCCCCACCCCATGAATCTATTTACTTTTCTTTCAGATGAATACCAGTTGTACCAATGGCAATTTTTAAACTAAAATAGCAATTTAATAGAAAATTTCCTTAGATATGCATTGAGTTCCCATCAATGTGTGCTGGCCTCTATTTCTAGATGCAAATCTCTTGCACAGCATATTCATTTAAACTTGGAAACACTCTCCCAAGCTTTTCTGTTTGTGTTTCTTTGATGGGGGTATTCACTGTGTTGCCTAGGTTGGTACTGCATTTGAATCTGTAAGCTCAAGTGATGCTCCTGAATCAGCCTTCAGAGCAGCCAATAGATGTGCGGCCACATCCAGATTCTCCATTATTCTATCTAGTGGCTTTACTGTACATTTTATCATATGGCAAGGCAAGTTCCATCTCACTTCTTTTCCATAATTTTGCTGACTCTTTTCAGGCATTTATTTCTCTTCTGAACTTTTCAATATATTGTTACTTTTTCAAAACGTTTAGGTATGCTTTCAAATTTACCAGCATAACCTCAGAGACATATAATGTTAAATGATTAAGTCACTCATAACATATGCTTAAGCATATTCATTTATAATTCTTCTCAGTTTTCAAATTTCCTTTCACAATGTATGAAATGATCACAGATCAAATAAGTTGCTTAAGGAAAAATGTATTTAGCTGGAACTTCCTTAACCAGGTATGAAGAAAAATATTGCAGCAGCTTCTCTCTGGGAAAAACACACTTTGAATTTCAAAACACCAGCAACACAGGTAAAAAGGTACAGACCATGTTTTTATTTTATTTTTTGGTACTGGGACTTGATCTCAGGACCTGGCGCTTGCCAGGCAGGTGCTGTGCCACTAAGCTATATCCCCACTCCAAGATCATAGTTTTTAAATCAGAGTTGTATCAAAACCGAAATTTTTAAAATTTTTTAAATATCACACTACAAAACTAAAATAGATTTTCTGTGCTCAAGGGTTAATTTTAAGATTACATTATTAAATTGCTAAGGAGCCAAGGATATAGCTCAACAGCACAAGCGTCTGCCTGGTAAGCCCACAGTTGCGAGTCTGACTCCCAGTACCAAAAGAGTAAATAAATTGCTAAAGAAAACTTTACTGAGTAACCACTTCGAAGACATCAATATGTAATACAACAACTACTGTTAATTTCCTATCACCTTGTCTGAAATTCAGTATTGCTTGCATTGTTCTTGTGTTATTTTGTAAATATGTATGTGTGTTTGTTAGTATGTTTTTGTTTTTTTATTTTTAAAATACAAAAAAGAAAACTTTAAAGTTTTCTCTCAGATAAATGGTTAATAAATGAAATCACTGGAAATAATCAGCAAAATCTAGAAAGTAGGAAAATAGAGGGGAAAGGCCTACATAAACTCAATAACTAAGTTTTATTTAGATCATGATCAGAACAGTCTATAGACACAAAAATCCAAATTTGAACATTAAATGATAATACTAAAGAACTACTGCTATTTTTAGGTTTGATAATAGTTACTTTTTAAAAGCGTACTTATCTTTTAGACATACATACTGAAATATTTACAAATAAAATCATAAATATTTTGCCTTTGCTGGGGTGCTCTGCAGTGTGAGTGGTAGTGCAAATAGGGTTGCGGATTACATGAGCTGATCACTGCTGTAGTCAATGATAAATACATGAGGATTCTTTCCACAAATATTTTTAAAGTTACAACAAAATTAGAAAGAAATTCCAGTTAGTGGACAATTTAAAAATCCATAGTTTTAGAAAAGTTAACTAACTGCTAATAGAACAGATAGTGGTTTGAGCTAAATGAAATGAAATTTTAAAAGTCAATATTCAAAAATTCTTCATTTCAGAGAAGTTCAATGCAAAGAAATGCCATTGCACCTTGCAAGGCATATCGAGGGCAGTGAGGGGAGGAGGTGCAAGCACTCACACAAAGGTATTTCCAACACAACTGTTACCTTGAGTTCCAGCCTTGTGGTATTTGCCTGGCACCGGTAAGTGGCAAGAAGAAAGTTGTCATTCGACTGGGAAGAATCCAAAATGGAGGAAAAGTATGAATCCATGTTTTTCACAATAAAAACATGATCGATAATAAAAACATTTACCATTTCTTTGAATACCCATCGTTTGTGCTAAATGCTCTCCAAACATTCTCATTTACCCCTGTAAGTAACCCCACACACTAAGTTTTACAAAGTAAGTCAGATGAAGAAAATGAGGCTATGAGGAGTTAGGTAAACTTCTCCAGAGCTAGTGATAAAACTGGAAATGAAATTCGTATCTTTAGGACTGTAGAGCTCACGGCTCTATCTTGGGTCTCTACAATATCTGTAAATAATAAGAGCTCTTCTAAAAATCTGTTAATGCAATGCCACGTTTACACTACAAAGGTATGCATTCCAACGTTTGATGCCAGATATCTTCGATTTTGACAAATACTTGTAAAGGAAAGAGAAATAGCGAATCTCTGACTCCCAGCAAGTAGTATGGTGCCTAGCATGGTGCCGAGGCACTCAATACATGAATGTTTGCTGTGTTGACCTGGAAAGGTTCCTTCAAATACTATAGCTACTTGAAACTGAATAGTAAACTACTAAGAACAGAAAAAAAAATATCTAGGGATACAAAGTCAAAATCAAGCAATATAAAATATTTTATATGTAATTTTCATGTATTGTTGTTCCTGTATTTTTAATAAATAATCAAAAGACATAAAAAGGATGTTGGTATCAAAAAGAAAACTCAAAACTTTTAATTTCAAATTATTTAAACTTAGTAAACAGAGAGGATAGATTGAAAAAATATTCTTTGTAATTAAAAAAAAGTAATTAAAGCAGAACTTATATATAAAACATATATGTACTTATATATAAAATATTTATAAATAAGATGATATACCAGCACCTGGGAGGCTGAGGCAGGAGGATCATTGCAAGTTTGAGACCAGCCTGGGCTACACAATGAGCTCAAGGCCAGCCTGAACTGCATAGTGAGACCCTGTTTCAAAAAGATCAAAAAAAGAAAAGAAAAAAATAAATAAGATGCTGCAGATTTAAAGAGATAAATGTCTGTGAGTAGAATTTGAAGCAGGACAGAGTGAAAAGCCAACACTGAAAATCAGCGATGGGAGCACAGAGATACTGTATTTGTCTTTCTACCTGGTGTGTATTTGAAATCTCCATAATGTGTTCTGCTTTAATTACTTTTTTTTTTTTTTTTTTTTTTTTTTTGTCTTTTTAAGACAGGATTTCACTATGCAGTTCAGGCTGGGCTTGAGCTCACTTTGTAGCCCAGGCTGGTTCTGAACTCGCAATGATCCTCCTGCTTCAGCCTCCCAAGTGCTGGGATTACAGGCATGTGCCACCATACCCGGCATATTCTGCTTTAAGAAGCCATTGTCCCAGAAAATGATTTTAAATATTGTAAAGAATTCTGCAGTGATGTAAACAGATTAATCTTTCACAGTAGGAAATGAAATCTTTGATTCTAAGGAATCAAAAATTGGTTTTTGCTGTTTTTTAAAGATCATAAAATTGCAGTCTTTATGTTTCACTCTCACACAAGGATGGCAAGCTATATATTGATAATAATATAAACAACTATAATTTTTTTCTCTTAACAGAAAGAAAATGCTTATCATAAGATTAGCAAGTTTTCGTCATCCATTCTTTTACTCCTACCATTTCAAAAACATTTATAACTAACTACCACCTCCAGTCACCATCTCCCCTCCTGCTTTTTCCAGTGTAGCTAATGCACGCTTTATCTTTTCCTTTACTTCTCTGCAGAAGAAATTCGCGCTAGTTCTAAGAAGGAAGTGGTGCAGGATGAGAATGTCCAAAGGTACTGACATGATCTCATATGTACTTGGCACTAAGGTCTTAATAAATGCCTGCTTAGTGAAGGTTCAGTAAGCATTAAATAATTCAGAAAAGAGTGGGGCGGACCAGCAAGACCAGGGGAAGGAACAGATTATGTTCATATGCAGGATATGTAAAACTACACCTCTTTTGAGAATTTAGAGGGGTACTGGGGATCGAATCCAGGGACTTCACACTGAGCTACATCCCTAGCCCTTTATTTTTTATGTTGAGACAGGGTCTTGCTAAACTGCTAAACTGTCCAAGCTAGGCTTGAATTTGCTATCCTCCTGCCTCAGCCTGCCAGAGTGCTGGGATTCCAAGAATGCACTACTACTCCTGGTTTCAAGAAACCTTAAAAACTTCAGTTTGGCTGAAATGATGAGCATGAGAAGAGAGGTAGCAGCTGATCAGACATCAGCTGGGGAAGTAAGAGCTGAATCATGAAAAAGTTTCTATACCTCAGTGAGGACTCTAGACTTCCATCCAGCAAGAAACAGGACTAATGTAAAAGGTTCGAGAAAGGGAATGACTCAGAGATGTTTGAATCTGAAAAGACTTCTGCAGCAGCACACAGCAGCTAGGAGGTGAGAGGCAACCGGAGGCAGAGAAACCGAAGGAGTAAGCGATTGAGAACGACAGGATGAAGCCTGGGCTTAGTCACTCAAGTGGGAGCAGAGCTGAGGGGAGGTTGGGGAGCTACAGAGGCAGAACTGACAGGGCCCAAAGAATCTAAGACAACACCCCAGTTTCTGAATTATCTGAGGACAGGGAAAGAGGACAAAAACAGATTTTGAGGGAAAGATTATGGAAGGAAGGGCTGAAGAAGAAACATCAAACCCTCATAGCAATAAAAGCTGTTAATGAAAACGGCCTGAGAAATGAAAACGTGAATTTTTTTAATACTTTTTACTCACCTCAGAATCGCAGCTGCTAAAGCTAACAACAGCAGAATTCTTATCCATATCAAGTAAATCGATTGGAACGTCGCTCTACAGTATTAAAAAAAAAAGACTGAGATGGAAAACCCAGAAATGTGCACAAAATACATGTGTTTTCCCTAAGGGTTCTTAGTTCTAGCTAATGTTCATCTTTAAATTTGAGAATATGAATTCTCTTGATTTATATTCAATAATAATAGTTCTAGGAAAATACTTTAACAAGAATAAGTTTTATTTTATACTTACCTACTTTTTCTAACTTGGATTGCCAAAAATCATAGAGTATCATTTCCTATATCCCCTTAAAAGTATACTCTTCCTACTTTTGGTGCCTTTTGTTTTTGACACAGCGTCTCACTATGTAGTTCAGGCTGGCCTTGAACTCACTGTGTATCCCAGGCTGGCCTTGAACTGGTAATGATCCTCCTGCCTCAGCCTCCTGAGTGCAGGACTACAGGTGTTCACCATTATGCCTGGCTTACTCTTCCTATTTTTGTCAGTGCTAAATAATGTTACCATGGGCTACAAAAAACCATAGGACTATCCTGCTTTATCAATTCATTCTTATCGGCTTTATTTGTTTCACCAAAAGAAAATAATCTGCAGTCTCCTCTGAAGAAACAGCTTCTAAGAGAAAGTTACTATTTTTTTTTTCTTTTCTGTTTTTTAAAAGGTGAAAGATTTATGCGATCTGAAGAGAAACCTGAGTATATCTTTTTTTTTTTTTTTAAGACAGGGCCTCACTCTGTAGTTCAGGTCTTGAACTCATTAATTCAGTAATCCTCAGTAATCCTCCTACATCAGCCTCCCGAGTGCTGGGATTACAGCATGCACTACCATGCCCAGCAGATACTCTGTTCTTTACGACTTTCACTCCTAGAGTCGTTTAACAGAGCAGCTTGTAACGAACATTACTGAAGAGTTTCCTACTGAATGTTTAATTAATAATCTGATCTCTTTACCACATCTTTTTGAACCCTGTCTTTCTGTAATTCATTATTTTTGCATTTTCCTATGAGTTTTCCATCTTATTCCTATTTTCCATGTATGCTGTTATTATCCTTTGCTACCTCTTGAAGATCTTCCAGTTTAAATAAACAAACAGAAAAATGGAGTTACACATTATCCCTAAATTTCATCCTTTGAGATTATCTACTTTGCTTATTGCTTACCTAGAAACCACTGAGTTAATAAGCAAGCTATATACTACCATTTCAGTATTTACAGTTTTTTTTTTTCTCTTGGTTTTTTGAGATAGGGTCTCACTATGTGGCCTAGGCTGGTCCTGAACTCACAGTGTTCTGTCTCAGCCTCTGGAGAAATATTTAGTTTTTTTAAAGAGGGGTTTTCTAAGTCCCATCTCTTTTAAGACTCTCCCAGAAGGTAGCAAAAGAATAAAAGTCTTACTGTCTTTTCTATCTCTTCCTAGAACTGAAGTTTGGGGAAATGTTCAATAATATAAGTGCCCATGACTCATCTGCAAAATAGGTTCAATCATAAAACCAAGAAATTAAACATTCTGCTTACCTGTATTAAGACATTATCTATCGCAGTCTGCACCTCTAAAATAAGGCTATAGCTAGCATCATCTTTATTTAATGTAAACTTGTCATTTATGCTAATTGAAGACAAAGCTGTTTTTGCTCTGCTTGACTGAGAAGCCTGTTGATAATTCTCTCTTTCTTGTAGTACCTTGTACTGCAGATGTTCCAACTCACTCCTACAGAAAAATGAATACAACTTTGTCACCTATAAAAATAAACATCGGAGAGCCTTAAGTATGTACAAAAATTTGGGACATTTATTTTGTGAAATGTTTTTATTGGTTGAGTTATAACTATAATGCCAATAGGAACAAAATCTGTGCTTCTATACAACTGAACAAAAGATTCCACATTATTTATCCCTAACCCCAAAATCAGTTCCACAGCAGCAATAGTAATAATGAGTCTCAAGTATCTTATCAGATTTCAAAAACTGAACCCTAATACATGCAGTTACAGGTGCACACAGTCCTGGTCAGAAGAGAAACTGACAGGGCAGAGCACCGAGACTTACTGAGAAGAAATGCATGAAGCCAGCAATTTACACCTTTCAGTGAGACAGTAGCGCAGATACACGGGATCTGCAGAAGGCTGTAGACACTGACCTGCTGGCATGATCATGAGCCAGGGAAAGGTTTCAGTTCTATGCTATAGTGGGTTCTGCTGGGACTGAACTGCACGGGCAGACTGTGCAGGTAATCAAGGGGAATGGCTACATATAAAAGAAGTACACAGAAACCAGGTTCAGCCAGTCCTAACTTAGGGGGATGTCTGGGGAGGGACTTGAGAGGGACTGGTGCAATGATCAAAGTGTAAAATTCATTCACTGAAGAAGCTTACACTACCAGACATTATGTACTTACTCCTATACACCCAGGACTGTTCCAGGGGCTGAATGACCAAAACAAATATAAGTTTGTCACAGAGCTTTCATTCCAGAATGAGGAGGAGGAAAACTTGGTTATAAACATAAGGTCTTGCACTGAGGATGTGCGGTAGTAGTCATTCACTGCCTAATGAGCCATTTTTGGAACGCACATAACAATGGAACACAATGAAATGTGTTCTCTACAAATTCTTATTCCTTGACTTTTTCTAGGTAACATATATGAATTTCGTGCAAAAATTCAAAACTTTTCTATCTTTGACATAAGTGGGTTAACCTACTTAGTATTCTTATTGCATGAACTAGGATATCCTGAATGAATCTGGTATACTTGTTTGCATAAACATTACAGCTTGGTCTCCTGGTGGCTTTCCTGAATTGGCTTTTACTACTAGTAATTACTGCATTTGCTGCCTTAAAGTCCCTGTAGCCTTCCACTAACAAACAAATAATCAGCCCTCATTTCCTTAGAGGTGAACAGGGTTGAAGTGAGCAGTCATTAAAACTTTCTGCAACTCCCACTTCCTCCTGGTATGAGGCACCCCTGTACGAGGAGTGCGGGGTCCCTTCTCACAGGACATGTCGAACTGATCAGGGCATAAAAGCAATCCCTGCATCTGAGGGAGTCAATGTTATTCAGTTCCAGTAAGAAAACTTAAAAAGCCAATGTTACAGATGCAGAGGGGCTCACAGGAACAGTGAACACTACAATGAAGGAAAAACGTGGCCGAGTGGGTTTCTTCCTAAGGCCCATGAAAAACAAAAGCAAAACACTAATTATCCCCAACTATACAAATGAAAAAAACATAATTCTGGAGCTAAGAAAAATGCAATACAGAACAATGATGGTGAAGGTGTATTTTTAATTCTAAAAAATTAATCAGTACTTACTGCTAATTGTGTCAAACCCATAAATTTGCACTTTAAAAGGTAATTAATTATTTTATTAATTCTAATAAAATACAGTTCATGTATATGTACTACAAAGCAGCAACCACACGCTTCCCCAAGAAATGGAAAATAAAAGCAAACAAAAACTTAGTTACCGTAAACAAGCAATTTTATTCTGCATCTCCTGATTAATTTTTAGTTCTTCTCCAGGTCCACTTTCCTTATGAGTAGGTTCTGTTGTCAGACCTGTAACCCAGCCTGTGGAGATGAATTGCAATCATACACCATTTAGTGCTGCTGGTGGTAAGAGATATACTATACATCATGTAGCAGAAAACCCAACATGCATGTCTTTTTGTCTGCCAATATCAACCTCACTTAGCCCTAGGACTTCTTAAAAAAAAAAAAAACAAGATGGAAAATATTTAAATCATAAGTACTTAGGCATTTTCTGATACCATTTTCTGCTTGCATACTATAAAACTATGATTAATGGAATCCTTCAATTCTTAACAATTTTAATTTTTAAATACAAAATAAATCACTACCTTCTAGAAAATTTAAAATAGTTTACAAAGAACTGCCTTTCAAAAATTATTTTCATGAGAATTTAAACTCTCACATGACTACTGTGAGAATGCAGAATTTACCTATTCAAAAGCACGCAACATTTTGTAGGAAATGCATGTAATCCAAAACATAAACTAAGTTTCAGTGAATACTTCTCTTTAAGCCAAAGAATATCACTTAATTTTCAAAGGCACTGGAAACATGCTAACTACCCTTAAAAAGTGCTATTCAAATGTTAACTATTTTATAAATCAACAAGTCTACTCCTCCTTCCTTATTTTGTTTATTTAATTTTTTCTCAGGGCTGTGGATTGGCCCCAGGGTCTCACACGTGTCAGTCAAGCACCCCACTACTGAGCTATATAACTCACCTTCTTGTTTCTTAAACCAATACAGTTTACAATGCTGTAGGCAAGAGTAATTTACTCATAATACTTTTTTGAAAATATAGTCATCAAAAGGAATTTATTAAATTAAAAATTTTGTTACTCATCCTTTCTTCAACTCTAAATCATCATTTACCTGAATATGTAGACACCACGATTTCATCGTAACCGTCTTTCCCTACACAACCACCTTGGATGGATGTGACACTTTCAGATAACATCTACGGCAGATTTAAGACCAAATATTTCATTAATAACTACATTTCAAATGTATGTTAAAGTAAGCAGAAACATTTATTTTCCTACTCAAGATAGTCAACATATATTTACTGAGTATTTACCATGTGCACCAAGATTAGAAATATAACATCTTGAAAAATGCCAGAAGACTGCAGTCTTTTTAAATTTGGGGAGAAAGATTTAGAATTACTGTAGTATATCTGTGTGTAACATAGTACAATCATCTAACAAGCAAAAATTATTTATATAAACAAAGGGGTTTTAAATTATATACGCAACACTGCCAGTAAGTTCAGTCTATTATCTCAATTCAACAGACCACCTCTCATGTTTTCTCCAGTGTTTTTCAGATGAATAAAACTATGCGTTCCCCTATAAGTTCGCTTCAATTTTTTTCTCTGTACTTTTTTAAGACAGAGTCTCACTATGTAATGCAGGCTGGCCTCTAACCCATGATCCTTCTGCCTCAGCCTCCAGAGTACTGGGATTCCAGGCATGCTACACCACACCCCACTATAGCTTCTAGATTTTTCATCATACTGTTAAATAGTTACAAAGAATGTAATTTATGGAAGTTGTATTTTTGTTTTTTGGTTTTGTTTTGTTTTTTTCTTTTTTGAGACAGGGTCTCGCTATGCAGCTCAGGCTGGCCTTGAGCTCACTTTATAGCCCAGGCTGGTCTCAAACTTGCAACAATCTTCCTGCCTCAGACTACCGAGTGCTGGGATTACAGGCATGTGCCACCATTCCCAGCAGAAGTTGTAAATAAGATAATCTTTTAAACAACACTTCCCAAATTTGTCTGACAGGAATTACTTGCATGAATTAACTAGGAATCTATTTTAACAAGTACTCTAAGCCACTGGCTTTCAAGTTATTTGTAAAGCAAGCAATAAATTTTACATGTGGTATACATCCACACATGAACATATACAACAAAATATGTGACAAAAGATTTATGTTACACTCTGATACATTCTAATCTATTTCATTTTTGAAAAATGCATTACCAGACCACTAGTGGGTTTTGAATAGCAGTGTGGAGAAGTCTGGCAGGTAATTCTCAGCGGGAAAGGCTGAGAACAATGTTTTAAATGGGATGGGGGCCTGTCCACAAAACACTAATTTGCATCACCAGTCCTATAGGAGGCAAACTTCTTAGCTGTCCATTAGGTTAACTACCTGAGTTCAAGTGGTAAAGACCTGATTATAAATTGCCTGAAGTAAGATTCATAGATGGGGTTCAATGTCTGCAATTTTAACAAGACCCCAGTTGTTCTTATGTATAACAGAAGTCTCCAGTTGTTTTTAGTCTATGTTCCCACTAAAACAATTCTAAATAACTATATATCCTTCTGCATATTTTTAAGTTCACTTCTAGATATTTCATCACAGCTCTAAATAATGCAATTTCACAAAGAATGAAACTTCTGGAAATTATAAATATCATTCAAAGATAAAATCATTAAAGCAACGTAAGGATTCTAAATACTCAGACGAATTTATACACAAACCAGACTTTAAAAACGGGGACATGAAACCTTCTGTAGCTGTTCAAAATTCTATACTGCTCCTTTTTCTCCCTGAACTTTCATGTTCATTCCACTTCCACCACATATTTTATCTCAATGTAATATATTCATCTGCTTGGAATTCCCTTCTACTTCTCTACAACCAAAACACATATAAAACTGACATTATATCCTGTGAATAAAGAGCTCTAAGAATTCAAAATTTCTTTGTGTATTAGAAATACTATTATAATTATTAGTATTATACATCTGATCAAGGCATATGTACAAGCTCTAGTAAGTAATCATAGAGGCAAAAATTTTTAGGAAATGTATCTCATGAGATGAATGAGGCTTTTACTCCCTTCAAATTAGACAAATAGTGCAAATTGATATTACAGACAGCTAGAATGAGAGTACTTTTAGTATGAGTTCTATTCCTATTTTTCCTTTTCACAGGTATAAGCTCTGAAAATAGTACATCTGTCCTTAGAAAACAGAAGAAACAGTGTGGAGGTGGGGTTTCTTAGCGCTAGACCTAGCGGAGCAGGTAAACGCTCTGTCATTATTGAGTTCTGGAACAGAAGTCAAGAGGAGACTTGAGGTCCACATAGGAAAACGTCTCAAGGGCTGATGAGAAAAGTCAGGAGATTACCAGCAAAGAATTATTATACTTTTAAGGCTAAACTATCAGCAAGATGAGTTTTCATACCAAAGAAAAACAAATTTGAAGTGAAATCTATTAAATAAATTTAACTGTGTAATATTTCATTTCCCATATTGTCTCCATAACATACTTTGTGGACTTTTTCTTTTTTTTAAACCTCAATGTATCCTACATGAGGCAGCATGAGAAAGCTCTGGATTGCTAAGACTTGAATGTGAATGTGGTTTGCGCTCCCTCTCTCCCCAGCACACTCATGCAGGAGTTTAACACCCAAAGTCCTATGTTAATGGTATTAAGGGGCGGGAACAACCCAAGGACAGTGCTTAGAAGTGGTGCCTTTAGGAAGAGACTACTTTAGATAAGGTCATGAGGGTGAGCCGCATGGTTGGCTCCCCGTGGCTCAGAAAGAGGAAGCAGGGAACCATAAACACCTGTGCGCCCTGTCCCTCTTGCCATGTGGCACTCTGCACTGTGTTGCAGGTTCTCCACCAGCAAAGTGGCCATCACCGAATGAGCCGGATGGACACTGCATGTGCAAGACTGTGGGACAAACTAAAAATCTTTCCTTTACAAAAGCGGCCTGCCTCATACATTTCATTATAGCAACAACAAAAAGATGGACTGATAACATCATGTATTGAAAAAGAAAGATTTCACATACACACTAGAATATTATTTAGCCAGGAAAAGAATGAAATCCTGTCATCTGTGACAACATAGACAGAACTGGAAATCATTGTGATAAGTAAAATAAAGCGCAAAACAGCAAGTACTAAATGATCTCACTTATATGTGGAATACCAAAATGTTATTTCACAGAAGTTAAAGTGGCAGTTACCAGAGGCGCTGAGAGTAGGGAGGAGGGAAAGACAGGGAAAGTTGATCAATGGGTATACTAAGTCCAGCCAGGAGGAGGAAGACGTCCTGTATCCAAGTAACAGAAGAAGAAGGAAAAGGAGGAGAAGCAAGCGGGGCAGAGAGTGGAAGAAGGAGAAAAAGAAAATAATTCTGACGTGCTATTGAATACTAGGGCAGCTACAGTAACAATATATACTGTACATTTCAAAAAGCTAGAAGAAAGGATTTGATTGTTCTCTCCACAAGGAAATGAAAAATGAGCACATAGATATGATTAAACTTTATACAATGTATGATAAAACATAGCAAAACATCCCATTAATATGCACAATTTTTATGTTTTATGTATGTTTAAAATAAACAATAAAAATGAGTTAAAAAGAAAAAAAGAGAAACATTCAACTTCTACCAGAATGTTTCTATATGTGATTCTATAGCAGAAACAGGTTTAATTACATTTAAAATCTGTGAACTAGAATTTCTTTTATCTAGTGTTTTTTATGGCTTACCCTTTAGCATCTAGAATTAAAAATGCTATTTATCCTGTTCTGCTTAAGAACAGTACTGATACTGTCCTAGGAATATCAAGCTTATTCCTAAATTTATATTACTTTAAAATAATCTTTTGTGATACATAAATCTTATTCCTGTAATGTGTTACTATGGATGATAGAAACTACAGCAAAATCTTTGATACTTTAGGAATTTATGGAAATATTTAAAAGTATAAATTTCCACTTATACTTTCATAGTAATCTATTATTTATACTTATACAGTAATTTATCATTTATACTTATAAAGTTATTCATACTTATATAGTAATTTTCATCTATTCTTATACAATAATTTATTATTTACCTAAGAGGCAACAGTCTTATCATTCAAACACAACAGTCTAGAGAAGAGTTGTATAACATCAAAACAACAGTATTTCAATACAAACACAAGATTTTAATATATTTTCACCTAATAAATTTCAAACCATCCGTTATCTCTATAATTATTTCCCAAACAATATGCGCACAGTTTTGTTTTAATTAACTTACCTGATCAAATCGTAGAATAGGTTCATTTGCACTATCAAAACTATACACTTCCACCATGCCATCGTCTCTCCCAACAAGTAAATCTTTAACCCCATCACCCACAATATCGAAGCTGTCCATACACAAAATACCTTTAAAAAAAGATGTCTGGGATGAGTTATTAAAGAAAATTAAAGTTGTTCTCAAATACATGCCAAGTAAGAATGAAAAATTTACATACTAACTCAGATGGGAGGAGCAAAGAGCAACTTGAACATACTCAGGTGCCTCTTTTCCATCCATGCTCACCAGTTTCCAGGGTTTTAAATATAATCTCTATGGCAATGGCTCCAAATTCATACCGTCCTTCCACTCTGGCCTCTCCCTAGAGCTCCAGATTCACGTGTACAAGTCATATCTTCATATGCATGTTTGTATCTCAATTTCCATGCCCCAACTAAAATTTTTCTGTTTACCACATCCTCTCAATATCCCCTTCCCAAGTCTTCTCCTTTTCAGTAAATTACATCACCAATTATTTGTTCAGGCCAAAAATCTAGACTATATCTGTGATTCCTTTCTTCCTCTCACTCTCCACATCAAATCCACCAGCAAATGCTACCTACTCTCCCTCCACAATAAATGCCTGACTTGTTTCCTTTCCACTTCTGGCCATAGTCAGCATGCAGTCCCTCCCCTAGATCAGAATAAGGCATAACAGCTATAACACTAACTTGTAAGTGGGCTCCATGTTTCCAGTTTTGACCTGCTTTCCCCTACATCCCTTCTCCACACGGCGCATTTTGTTTCAGTGATCAGATCATGCCACACCGCCACTTGAGATTCCACAGTGACTCTCCACTGCACTCACACTAACATTCAAATTCTCCAACAAGGGCACACGGTTTGGCCCTGCTGTGCCTCTCCTCAGGCCATGTTACCTTCCTACCGCCACATTAAGACACTGAGCCACACTGGTTTTCCTGTTGTTTCCCAAATGAACAAAGTTTACCCCTGCCTCAAGTCCTTTACACTTATTCTTCTTCCTCCTGGAACATTCTCTCCCCCACCCCTCACCGCCGCCATTTTCACACCCTAATCTTTTTTCTTAGCAGATCTCAGCTCAAATTTCACTTTTCTAGGACACTTTCTTTAACCAATCAGCCTAAAAGCGGCTCTCCTCCCTTCTCCGTCACTCTCTAACACACCTGCTGTATTTTCTCTACATTACTGGTGAAGCTATCTTACATATTCATCTATTTATACTCCATATTTCTTAACAAGTATTTTTAAGGGAATACGTGAACATCCAAATAAACATTCCATACATGTAAATCACCATCCCACTATCCAAGACGTCAGGGATAAAGTCCTCTTAGGAAGGTATACATTCCTTGGAAAGGAAGACTATCTCCTGACCCACTGTGCTTCTTTGGATCCTACCACTTACTAGCAAATTTCAATTAATCTACCCCAGACAATTAAAAATGGTTTTTAGTAAAGAATAAAGGACATGCTGGGCATGGTAGCACACACCTGTAATCCCAGCACTAGGGAGGATGAGGCAGGAGGATTACTGTGAGTTCCAGGCCAGCCTGGGCTACAAAGTGAGCTCAAGGCTAGCCTGAACTGTATAGCAAGACCCTGTCTCAAAAAAAAAAAAAAAAAAAGAATGAAGGACAGGTACCTACAAACTTCTACCTCTCCCAAATTACTATTAACATTCTTTTTTAAAAAAATGCTTATAGTCAGGGATATAGCTCAGTGGTGCAAGTGCCTGCCTGGTGAGCACGAGGTCATGAGTTTGATTCCTGGTACAAAAAAAAAAATTTTTTTTAATGCCTATAGTATGGTAGATCTGACAATAGAGAAATCAGAGGCTTAATGAATTGGTAAGTCTGCTACATAATAAAACAGAATGAATTATTAATCTGTTTTCTTAAATAATCACTGAAATTTCAGAATCTGAACTACATAGAAAGCATACCTCCCCTCTTCTTTTCATTTCGAATTTCCCATTTGTGTATTGGTTTGGATGTTGTGACCTGAATAAGTCCAAGTTTCCCATCTGAGGTTCCAAACAAAACATCTTCTCCAGAGTCACCTAGTTATAGGTAAAATGAACATATTAATAATCTTTTTAAAGTTAAAACACATTGATGGGGCCAGGGATATAGCAAAGTAGCACAGTGCCTGCCTAGCAAGCGAGAGGTTGTGAGTTTGATTCCCAGTACAAAAAAAAAAAAAAAACACACACATTGATGTAAAAATCTCAATTTTACTGTTAAAAAAATGGAATATTCAATATGAGAGTTAACATAATTTTATAACTACAACAAATAAGACCACACCCCATCATCTAATTTCAAGATGAAGACACTGAAAATTAAAATTAAATAAGTCATTATCGTGAGTTACTAGAAAGTTATCAGGAGATACATGTCTCCATTCCAGTCCATGTTCTTTGTAACCTTCCCATGTTCACTTAGTATTTTTTTATAAACACATAGATGGTTGTGAAAACTGAAATCATGATTACCGCCATTTCCATTGTGTAATGCTAAGACACTAGGTGGCCCCGGAATTTCAACTTCATACATCACGTCAGATCCCTGAAGGAAAATACGAATTAAAAATACAGTACAGGTATTCACAGGTAACATCAGTTTTCAAATACAATACTCTGAATAACCTCTAGATAAAACTGCTGAAAAATGCTAAGTCGTGAGTATCAACTTATACATTAGTAATTTTGTACATATTCACATATTTGGAAATACAAATATATATATAAAATATAAAGACCAAAGAGAAAAATATGTAAAATATTCTATATTTTCTCCACTTCTCATTTAAAATACATTGTTTTACCTGAAAACTTGATATTGATAAATTTTCCTTTCAAAATCCTCCAGAAACAAGGTATTTCTTATGTCCTTGCTAGTGCTAACTAGGAGATTTAACTTAAAGCACATTTCAGCAGATCTGAAAAGTTACTTCCTAAGGAAAGGTCTGGTCTTTTCTATTCTTAAAATCTACTCCAGTTAAAAGGCAGATAACCTGCACTTAAGTAAGAAAACCAGTAAGGTCTTTTTATCATTTTTTTTTCAATTTTGCTATGTATATAATTCAATGAAAACATAATGGACAAGATTATAGTAAACATGGTATACTGTCTCTGTTTAAGAATTTAACACATATTTAGCATGTATAAGATAAAGTCATGCTTTATCTTTTATCATTTAAAAATTTACAGATACTGTATCTGTATATATCTAATATGAACACAAAAACATGCAATAGAACTATTTTAAAAAGCAACTTTTGGTATAATAGATTGGCCTCAAAGGCAGATAGGGAGCAATGCAGAAGGAAAGATTTCAATTCCTTCCTTTTCACAAATCCTTAGTGATTTTCTTTTCTTCTGTACAATAAAAACTTAGAGAACCTGGCATAGTGGCTTACTATGGTAATTCTAGCACTCTGGGGGTTTAGGCAGGAGGATCAAAAGGTTAAATCGAGCCTGGACAACTTGGTGCAAGCCCATTTCACAATAAAATAGGGCTGGAGATGTAGCGCAGTGCAAATGCCCTAAATTCAATCCCCAGTGCCACCCCACAAGAATATGGATCTCCTCGTGAAAGCACAAGCCTAGATTTTGCCAGACCAATTTCTAACTGAATATTAGCCAGCTTCTGTTAAAAAGCTATTCAAGTAACTCATATTTGAAAGTACAGACTGCAAGAAAAATTATTCATCCCTATTTTTATTTATTTATTTATTTATTTTTGGTCTTTTTGAGGCAGGGTCTTGCTATGCAGTTCAGGCTGGCCTTGAGCTCACTTTGTAGCCCAGGCTGGTCTCGAACTCGTAATGATCCTCCTACCTCAGCCTCCTGGGTGCTGGGATTACAGGCGTGCACCACCATGCCCGGCTCATTCCTATTTCTAGAATGGACCTAAGAGATTAGTTTGATTCTTCATGGTAGAAACAGAGGGGTACAAAAGCAGTGAATTTTTCCTTCTGCAAAAAGGTTGATGCCAGAAACAGGCATCTGGTTATGGAATCCCAACGAGTAAAAGAGCCTGTGGTAGCACCAGCCATTGACAATTTATGTTTCAGTTCCACCCACCAGCTATACGCTAAACTTTAAGGGTCCTGTAGAATATGTCTGTGGCATGTGGGTGCATGCATGTGTTTGTGTGTCATTTACCGAAAGCCACTCTCAAGAAGATATACTGGTAACTCTTATCACTGAAAACAATGACGTAGCCAGGTGTGGTGGCACATGCCTGCAATCCCAGCACTCGGGAGGCAGAGGCAGGAGGATAATTGCGAGTTCGAGACCAGCCTGGGCTACAAAGTGAGCTCAAGGCCAGCCTGAACTGTATAGTGAGACCCTGTCTCAAAAAGACCAAAAAAAAAAGGCCTAAGCAGATGTTTGGAAACATAAGGACACCAAAATGATTTTTTTCTCTCTCACTCACTTACCTAAGAAATTTACTGAGTACTTGCTTTATTCTACATGCTGACATAAATACTGGGTGAATAAACTCAAATTACATATCACACTCTCCCAACTTCAATTTATTTGCTTAATTTGATATTATTTGAGGAAGGAAGAAAAAAATATTCTGGTAAAGGTCCTCTGTTGGGAAATACTCCATTGTGATCGTACTAGTCAGAGTTATGGACAGGGAGAGACATTTTCCTTTCTCTTATATGGTCTCTAAAAACTTCTGAAAGATCTCAACACCATATGACTCAAGTAAAAAGAAAAAATCAATTAAACTTAGAAAACTGTTCTAGATACAACTTTATCCAGGATGCTTACAGCAATGATCATTAAAATAATTTAAAATAACAGTCAAGGGGCTGGGGATTTAGCTCAGCGGCAAAAGTGCCTGCCTGGCAAGCGCAAGGTCGTGAGTTCGGTTCCTGGTACCGGAGAAAAACTAAAAAAAAAAAAAAAAAACAGTCAAAATCATTTACCTAAATTAAGCAAAGTTATAAAAATGCAAGTAAGAACCACCTGTAAAACTCTGAGCACTCTGTCCTGGCATGCCAATACCGGCGTAATCTGGGGTGATCTTTCTACTGGAAGGCAGGTGACATCATTGATTTTATCCCCGGAAAGATAGTAATGTTGGTCTTGGCAGTCACAATAATGATTATAGATGTAACTCGCACTGAGAAAGAGGTCAGAGCCAGATATGTGCCTGAGAACATCAAAAGGGCGACTTAAGACATCTGTATTTTTAAAAATATGCACAGGTAATTACTGAATTTTTTCACAGGTAAAAACAGAACACTTTACTTACACAGTTTGTTATCAATTTATCACAGACTTAGAGAACATTTTAAAAAATTTCCTCTTCTTTATTTCCAGACTTTTGAAATAACACTACTTTCAATTTTAAAAGTTGAAAATGATAATCTTAAGGCCTTGGGCTTCTGAATAAAAACTAAGCTCAGAAAAATGGAAAACAAAGATCATGGTAATTTGTCTTTATCTAAAGATAGCAGGAAAAGAAACTTCTAAATGCATACTCTATACCAAACACGGTCCTAAGTGATTTACATGTATTAACTCAATTAATCCTCATAGCCCCATAAACTAGGGAAATTTTATTCCTTTTACAGGTGACTAATAAAATGTCCACTTGCCTGGTGGCACTTAACTAGTAAACAGTGCAACAGACTGCAACTTGGGCAGTTGTTAGCTCTAGAGTTTAGCATTCTCACTACCACATAAACTGCCTGAAATAATTTACTTGAAATGAACTGACTTTTGGGGTGGGGATGTAGCTCAGTAGCACAAGCACCTGCCCAGCAAGTGCAAGGTCCTGAGTTTGATTCCCGGTACCAACATAAATAAATAAATAAATAAATGAAATGAATTGACTTTTATGTTAGAACTTTACCTTGAAAAAAGAAATAAAAGTTCGTTTCAAATTATTTTAGCAAAATTTAAGTAATAATTACAAAGATAATGTAATGCTTAGGTTGAATTCAGTTTCTCTTGGTGGAGCTGAAATTTCTTCACAAAAGTTTTGTTTATATATACATTATACTAGGGTAATATAGTTTGAATAATCTTAATCTAAAAATCTGAAATCCAAAATGCTTCATGTGCTAACATGATGCTCAGAAAGTTTCAAATGTTTGGATCAGGGATAATCAACTGATAAAATCTTTGGAAATATTCCAAAATTTAAAAAACTTCAAAACCTGAAGCACTCCTTGTCCCAAGAATTTTAGAAAAGGGAGAATAAGCCTATATAGCTTTCAATTCTAGACTGATATCACCATGACCATAAAGAGGGTAATTTTATTTGAAGAGTTCATCTATGTCTCCACCTCTAAGGTCCACTTAAAAATTTTCCATACTGGTCAGCTGTGGCTGTGCACACCTATCATCCTAGCTATTTGTGAAGTTCACAAGTTTGAGGCCATCCTGGGCAACTTAGTGAGACTGTGTCTCACAATAAAAGAACAGAACGAGCTGGGGATGTAACTCAGTGGTAGAGCACATCTACGTTCCATTCTTTGTCACCACAAAAAAAAGAAAATCCAAAAATTATTTTCTGAAGAGTTTATCCTATAATGATCCTCACTTGTTCAGTTATTAAGTGGCCTTACTTTGTGGCTCTGCCTACGTATAATATACAATTTTAATCACCGTCATAAAAGTCTGTTATCTTCTTCAAGGTTTGCAATTCCATCCCCATTTCTGAAATCAATATGCATTCTATTAGCTACAAAGTTCAATAGTCACTAAGGTTGACAAGAGTAGAGACAGATTGCAGCCTTAGCCAAGCAATGGTGAGGGTGGCCAATTTTATAAGTAGTGAGTTTCTTTACTGAATATTTTCTTTTTTCTTTTCTTTTATTTTATTGAATATTTTCAAATTATATTCTTTATTTTCCTATGAAGACTTATAAATATGGGATTTCAGGTAACAAATTTATAAAATTTGAGTAAAAAGAACTTCTAGCCCATCTCTGCCATTCCAGTAAAAATATTTAAGAAACTGGCCAGAGACTCTTGGAAACTCTTTTCCCTTCCTCACAGATTAAATACCTTTCTGAATGTAAAAGTATTCTAATAATAAATTCCTTTGATTTTAGTATGTCACAATTACCACTGGCCATGTCTGTGTATATGAGCAATTCGCAAGTGTTCGCATTCTAGCTAAAGCACATGAAATTACTTCCATTTGCCACTGTTTAATTCCTAACCTCACCAAGTCAAAATTGTAAAGCCTCCAACATTAAGAGAAGTGCTGTGAATTATACAGTTAGATTATGTTCAATTATACAGTTGTGCATTATAGAGAACTCTGAACTGAACCAGTAGTTTCCAAATCCAGACGTCTGGCTGCTTATACAACTTGGCTGCAGCACATTAAAAGGAAAAACTTTTTAAAAAATTAAAATTAAAAAGGAAAAAAACCACTTCTGATTCAGCAAGTCTAAGGCAGGATAATTGCTTAAGCTGCTCAAGGGGCATTTCTAGACAGCCAGTTTAGAAAGTGGATCAGATGAATTTAAAAGCCCTTTCTAATCCCTCATAATTCAAAAGTAAAATTTTAATTGAATAATTTTAAATATCAGGAAGCCATCTTTCATTTAGAGTTTTACCTGATTCACCTGAAATTGACAGTCATCAACTTTGATGCCCATTCTCTTTAACATAATGTTGCTACATCAAAACCAGAACTACCAAAGACAGCCAAGGAACAGAAACATAAACATGTGGAGATTTTTTCCCCTTTTTTTTTCCCTACACCTTGATTAGGGACTCATAACCAAACCATGTAGTCAAAAATGAATGTATACAACATTTCACAACAATTAACTGTACATTTCAAAGTAGCTAGTGGAGATGACTTCCAATGTGTGAAAGTCATCACAACCTGCACAAAGAAGTGACAAATGTGTAAGGGGATGGATATGCTAATTACCCCATTATACACTGTACACATGTACTGAAGTATACTCTGTATCTCATAAATATATACAATTATTAAGAGTCAATTAAAAATTAAAAACATTTTTTAAAAGTAATAAAAAACCAAAAAATAAATGTGTACATATAGGTATGCATGTGTATGAAATAATGTTTTTAAAAAGAAAACAACAGTTCAATACCCAATCAATTCTGTACTGAGTCTAGGTCAGATTTAGTTCCTACTAAAATAGCTTTAGTCTATTTTATTATCCAGAAAACCTGTAAGATATGACATTTATTTTTAAGATATATTTAATCAGACACTTTATATCTATCCAAGATATTGTAAGTAAATATGTAAAAACAAAGAAGAGAACCACAACATACATAGCTTTAATGCATTCTGTGAGATTTGTTTCAAAAGAAAGGAACTGCTTTCCTCTCTTTGTGAAGCCTCTGATTTCAGATCCTGCAGCAATAAAAATTTTCTCCTGTGGTGTGTTAAGAACCCCTCCTAGTTCCAGCCTTGCAATCTTCTGCCCTGGTAAAGTCTTGAACACTGCCTGCAAAACCATTCAGGGAAAAAGTAAACATACAAGCTATTTTATTGTGAACATTTTTCCTTTACCACAAAAAATGCTATAGTTTTTAACTTATAAGCTATTATCACTTCACTGCATAGAAACACCGTTAAATAAAGATCTATTAACTTTAATGGGTCTTCTGGAGTTTTTCTAGCTATCCTTAAACTTTGGAATATTTACTCCCATGTTTTTTAAATATTATTGAAGAATAAACTCTTGCAACTTGAAGTACAGTTCACTAAACAGTTATGTTAATGTGGTTAAATTTGTTAAATATGCAGACTATCAAGCTCAACCCCAGGTCTACTGAATGAGAATGTGCATTGTAACAAGATTCTCCAACTGGTCCCTAAACACACTAAAAGTTTGAGAAGCACAAACCATCTGGCAATTCTTTAGTTAGGTTCAAAAGACAATGATTTTTACACATTAATCACTTTCTTGAAAATAATTTCTCCTAAATTTTTTACAATGTTGTTTTTCTTGAGACAGGGTCTAGCTATGTAGCTTAGACTGATTTTGGGCTCTTTACGCAGCCGAGGCAACTCCCAGCAATCCTCCTGCCTCAGCTTTCTGAGTGCTGGGATTATAGCCATGTGCCATCACAGCTGACTCTCCAATGTATATAGATTTTAGTAGCAAATGCTGGGCACAGTGGCACACACCTGTGATCCCAGCACTCGGGAAGCTGAGACAGGAGGATCCCCATGAGTTCAAAGCCAACCTGAACTACATAGTGAGACCCTGTCTCAAAGAGTAAAATAACCACCACCACAAACTACTCGTAAAGGACTACAGAATTTACTGAAAATGTGACTATGTATGATTAATACCTTAATCATACCTCTATTTAATTAAAATCACTAATTTTTTCATGGTTATTTTCCATTTTATTATTTACATCAGTTTCCCCCCACCACTCCAATGTCTTCATATACTAAGAATAAAGTCTGTTGGAGGATATGTGAATAACAGAGACATTATGTTTCTGGTAGTTTTAACTCTTTATCTTTTTTGTAATTCTATATGATATACAATGAATATCCCAGTTTGCCTCTCTGACCCACTACCTATAAACCTTTGATTATGATGATGCCATGATAATCATTCCTGATTAGGTTAAATCACATGGCAAGGGTGATGGAAGAGTCACTGCTATGAGTACACAATGTTATCAAAGGCTGTTTTAATGCCCCACAGACTGTCCTGCTAGCTTTAAAAAGCTAGCTTCCCATGTTGTGAGAGGGACCGCGAGGGTACCACATGGCCATGAATTGCAGAACCTCAAGTTGCAGAGTGAACACAGTCCCTACCTTACAGGCAGCAAGAAAGCAAGGACTCCAAGCTCTAGGAAGAAAGTAGCCTGGCCGAAACCACAGCCATGTGAAACGTTGGGCCCAGACTCCTGACTCACAGAAACATGAGATAATAAACACCTGCAGTTTGAAGTCCCTCATTCCGAGTACTTTTTAAAAACAGCAAAGAAGCCAGGCATGGTGGCGCATGCCTGTAATCCCAGCACATGGGAGGCTGAGGCAGGAGGATCATTGTGAGTTCAAAACCAGCCTGGGCTACCAACTGAGCTCAAGGTCAGCCTGAACTGCATAGCGAGATCCTGTCTCAAAACAACCAAAAATAAACGAATAAATAAAAATAAAAACAGCACAGAAAACTAATATATCACCATGAGCTGCCAAAGGCATTTTAAAACTAGCAGATTTTGGGCTGGACTGCAGCCTCACAGTTCATCCAAATACAGTCATTCCTTGCTATGTGCAGGGGATTGGTGCCAGGACCCACCCCCAAAACCAAAATCCAGAATTGCTTGAGTCCTACATATAAAAAGGCATGGTATTTTAATATTACCCACACACATGCTCCCATGTACTTTAAATCATCTCTAATTACTTGTAATACTTAATACAATGTCAATGCTTTGTAAGCAGCTTTTATACTCGTTTTTAGGGAATGACGACAAGAAAGAGGTATACACATGTTCACTGTGGATACGATCTGTTTTCCCAAATATTTTTGATCCTTAGTTGTGAAACTTATACACAGAAACTGTCAACTGTACTTCCACAACCTACTTTCCACTGTCCATGAGTTTCAACGGTGAATAAGTTCAACACCTGCTTTTGGGGAAACCGTTTCCCCAAAAGCTATACTTACCACTGCTTCTCCTTTCTTCATGCCAAAGCATGTAACTACCCCATCATGATCTCCAATAACCACCTGTGACAAGAGATGAGATTCTACAATTACTAACAAAAGTTCAATATGGCTTCATATTCCGCTTTGCACTAATGTATAAGAAACAATATCGAGTTAAAGCAGAGCATTAAAGAGGAAGAGTCATAATCATCTGAAAACACTATTTAAATACCTTTCCTTATTTTCAATTACGTCTGTGTAAGCTGGATTATCTTCCTATATTTCAACCAAAACAATATCTCACAACAGGTTGAATGCAGAAAACAGATATGAGAACCCATTTGCCTTCACTTATGCCAGTCATAAAATAATTTGTAAAAATATATCACTATTCTAAATCCTTTTTGTTCTTGTTAAAAATGTGTTGTTTAGAGCCAGGTGTGGTGGCACATGCCTGTAATCCCAGCACTCAGGAGGTTGAGGCAGGAGGATCGCCATGAGTTTGAGGCCACCCTGGGCTGCATAAGTTAGGTAAAGATCAGCCTGCACTACATAGTAAGACCCTATCTCAAAAAAAAAATATTTATGTAAACATGTAATGGGTTCACTTTTAAATAAAATATTTTAAACATTTCTTAATTTTAATTTCAATATAGTAAGTATCAATATCACATACATAAATAAAGTTCCTTGGGATCCTCAATAACTTAAATAACTGAATAACTAAAATGTGTAAAAGGGTTCTAACACCAAAAAGCCTAACAAGCAGTGATCTAGTAAACTAAATATAATAAATTATAATCAGAAACCTATTAATTTATCTTGATAAAATGTTAATATATCAGCATAAAATATTTCTTTTGCAGCTAGTAAAATATCATACTAGTCTACTAAGAAATCATAATTTCATAGAAATCATAGGATCAACAGTTCTGCTAAAAATCAATAAATACAAAAATCAGCATCAAAATGACTTAAAATATGAGAAAGTTTAAAGAAACTTTTCCTTCTATATGCTATATGCTTTATATTTTTTTATGTACATATGCTGCTATACACATTATCAAAAAAGTATGATTTTTAATAAGTTTGCTTACATGATTTACTAATTGTGCATAATAATTTTAATGTTCCAGAAAATTGCTACCTGTAAATGTCCCTTGGTATTCCATCTTCTATGCAAATAGAAAGAAATTCACTTCCATTTTAACCTTAGTATTTTTAAAAGACAAACATGCCAAGAAAGAGGGAGCCTATCAGAAAGGGAAAAAAGGAAAACTCACTATCAACGCCATACCTTTTGTGTAGCTCTAGATTTTGAGGCAGGAAGGAGCTTCATAGTCTTCTGAGACGTCACTCCCACCTAAGGAAAATACCAGATTTCTAGCAAATGTTTTCTGATACAACATAATTTGAAGTTATTACATTAGAGGTTTAAAAGATCAAACCAGCAGATCAGATCACAGGCTGTTTTTTTTTACTACGATGAGTGAGATATTATCAGCAATGAAGTTATTTTCTAGTGAAATCTGTCACAAGCCAGGTGCAGTGGAGCATGTTTGTAACCCTGCGTACTCAGGAGGCTGAGGCAGGAAGACTTCAAGTTCAAGGGCAGCTTGCATAATTTAAAAAGACCCTGTCTCAAAAATATTACAAAGACTCAATGGTACAGTGCCCCTAGGTTAGATCCTCAAGGAGTGTGGAAAGCGAGAGAGAAAGAAAGACAGTCCATCAATCAGTTAGGGAGAGGAAGGGCACAAAAGTCAGAATTTAAGAAACAACCAAAAATAGTCAAATGTATCCTATAAGTTTGTCAAGCCAAAAAGAATTATGTAACATTACTGGTAACTGGCTTCGTGCAAATATTTTTTAGAAGCTTTTTAAAATCTTACATAGTTGTTGAAGATTTTTTGTAAAATTATTAAAACTCTGGAAATAGACTAGCTATTTAAAATGAAACGTGGCCATTTATTTATTTATTTTTTGCTAAAATGCCAAACATGCTGATAGAAATAACATCCAATCTAACTGATGATAAGGAGCACAAAGCAATGAAAACAGCGTGGCTTGCTCAGCAGGGAACTGTGGCTGGGCAGGTGCAGTTAGAGAGGAGGGGACAAACCGGAGACAAGTGGGAGACAGCAGATCACGGAAGAACTTACATACAGTAAAGACATGACTTTAGTTTGCACCTCAGGAAGGAGTGGTAAAGTTTGAAGTCATCTGTTAGGCTTGCATTTTAAAAACATCAGCCTAGGGCTGGGGATTTAGCTCAGTGGCAAAAGCGCCTGCCTGGCAAGCGCAAGGTCATGAGTTCGGTTCCGGTACCGGAGAAAAACCAAAAAAAAAAACAGCCTAGCATGTGATGTGAGGATGGCTCGGAGGAAGATAAAGCTGAAGCCTAGGAACCCAGTTGGACTATTTCAATTATCTAAGCAGGCGAATAAGACAAGTGAAGCTGAGGGTAACGGAGATGGAGAACAATGGGACAGATGCAAAAGGATATTTAGGTGGTAATATGAGGGAAAAATTAAAAATTTTAAATAAAAGCCTGCCTGTCAAGACCAAGTGAACCTGATAGCAGAATATTCTTTTCTTTGCATAAACTTGGCTAACAGGTGGCCTTACACATCAACTGCAAATGTTCCTTTGTATAACCCTTGCCTTTACTGTACTGCCTTTGTATAACTAATGGCCTTGTAATTTAACTTTGTATAGCTAATGGCCTTGTAATGTAACTTAACATGCTACAGAACGTTTCTTCCTGTTTAACCCGTGATGACTCCCAACCCAACAATCATATGTGCTGAGTACTTTCCCTTTAAAAGCCCTGAAGCCCCGATGGTCGGGGCTCTGACTCTTTTGCAGAGATCCTAGTCAGAAGCCCCCCAGTGTAATAAACTGCCTCCTTAACCCTCGGCGCCGTTTCTTCCCGTGTTTGGTCTGCTTTCTGCAACAACAAAAGCAAGATATAACCAGTTGGATGTGGATAGTATTAAAGAGGGAAGTGTCTGTCATAATTCCTAGAGAAACTGATATGCAAACATTTGTACTGTTAGCTAAAATAGGACGGCTGAAAGGGGAGGAAACGGGGAACGAGGAGAGAGAATTCTCGGGCTGAAAGGAATCCCTGAAAGGCAGTGTGGTGTAACAGAAAGGACATCAGCGCGGCTGTCCAAGACCTCGATTCAAATAGCAACTCCATTCTTAGCTGTTGAGCAAATTATCTTGAGTCCCTGAGTCCCCATTTCTAACACTACTTATTTTTAAAATGCTTATGAGGAGTAAGTGTGGATTATACGAGGCATGATAAAAGAACCACGGTGTTTAAGTTTTTTAAATTATTACAGTAAAAGACACATTTCCATCAGTCCCCCTCAAAACACTCCCCTCACTGCGAGCACACTTATTCCATCCTTCCCGCCACTGTCTGAAGTCCTCTTTCCTGAGTTTTACGAGGCGTGATTACGAACATAGCGACCGCTGCTGCAGACAGCCATCCAACCGCAAGGCGGGCTCTTAGAAATATTACGGCGTGCCCTCGTCCACCTAATTCAGCAGACCTGGCCCCGTGCGACTTCTGGCTCCTCCCAAAGTCCTAACCACGGAAGGTGAGATCTGAACAGATTCAGAACACTGGGGCAGCCACGACTGTGCAACTAACGACAGTCAGCTAAGAGGACTTGGAGAACTGCTCCAGAAAGTGCGAACGATGGGGGCGTTCGAAGCGAAGGGAAGTCCTTAGAGGGGGGGGTTCCTGGCAAGGTGCCTTTTACTGTAGTAACTTTTAAAATATACACGTTCACCGTATTTTCCGATCAGCCCTTGTACGCGAAGGTCTTAAGCCGCCCGGTAAACAGCTGCGGCTGTTTCTCCTGGGATCCGGCTGGGGCCCTCGAGTCCGGTGCTACGGGCGGGCGGGGAGCGGGTGGAGAGGAGATTTGGGGTTAGGGCCCGCAGGTCCCGTGGCTGCCGAGCAGGAGAAGGAGGAGAGCCTGGGGGGGACCCCGACGGGACCTTCGAGCATCCTGGGGACCCGCGGCGCCAGCCCCGCGGTGTGGCCGCTTCTTTCCGCCCCCGTCCCCGCCCCGCTGTCACAGCCGCCGGAGCCGCCGCCCCCCGCCCGCGCACACCCGACCGGCGCCGCGGGAACCGACGCTCGCGGCCGCGCCCGCCCGCCCCCTCTCCCCGTTTACCTGTAGATAATCCGCGCGGTTTAAAGCCAGATCCATGACCTCGGCACGCAGAGGCCGGCCAAGGCGGGCCAAACCAGCGGGACGGAGGATGCTGAGCCCTAGCGTCAGCCGGGACAGCCAGACCCACCGCGTCCCCTCAAGGGGGCCCGCGCCACCCCGAGATACACCAGCTGGGCGTCAAAGCAGCGGCGTCCGGCGTGACGTCAGCACGCCCAAGGCGGGGCCTCGGCCCCGCTACTAAACCCCGCCTCCCCCCGATTCGCTCCAATCAGAGGAGGCCCTGGAGACCCGGAAAAGAGGTTTCCAGAGAGACCGGAGACGCGGGCTTGGCTCCGCCCTCGCGGGAGCCGGAGTTCTTCATCTGGTCTTTCTCTTTTGGTGAGGCGATCGCTAAGGAGAAGCCTGGACGGATTCTGACCTGTTTCTCTCTGATCACGGAAAGGGTCCTCTAAAGAATTAGACTCTTCCATTTAACCCTTTCAAAAATCGAGGCTGGCCTGCGTAGGCAATTTAATGGGACCTTGTCTTAAAAATAAATAAATAAAATAATTCGTTTCAGCGCAGTGGTGGAACGCTTCTGCGTTCTACATTCGATCCCCAGAACAGAAAACAAAAAACACGAACAAAGGAAAGAAAAAAAAGACTGAGGACCCAAAGCACTTTTTTCCTAAAAGAGAGGAGCTCAAAGGCTTACAGAGAAATAAAATTGAAATGCTAATTACTCTGATTTGATCAGTAAACAGTATATTATATATTGAAATATCAAGTCAGACCCCATAAATATGTACAATTATTATGTGTGAATTAAAAGAATAGGAAAGGAAGAAATATCTAAACCTAACGTAAGTTTCTACCTTAGGAAACTAGAAAAACGAATTAAATCCCAAGTAAGAGCTGAAATGAAGATAAGATTAAAAAAAAAAGAAAAATGGGACTGTGGTCAACTTAATGATGACATCAGCCCCTTAAAACATTTCTACAGTCCCCAGCGACCGGGAATACCTGATATAGCATAACCTTGTTCGATTAAACTAGCTATGAAAACAAGGAAAGTTTGTTCCACAATTAATAAGACTTTCATTATTTTTAGACATTGTCGATAACAGTTTACCTTTGCACTTAAAAAAGCAGCTTTCATTTCATACGTTGGAAATAAAAATATATTAAACATGACGGAGTTAGTTATTGTACATTGAACCAAATTTCTTTGTAATAATTACAAATATTTATGTCACCTTGGAACTTTGAGGACATTGGATGTCATTTTCATAGTTCCTAAATTTTAAATCTATGAAGTCAGATCTCTCAGTAGAATTCCATAAAGTCAAGGGTGCTCATTGAATTTTAGACAGCAGGACTTAGAAAATATCAGACTTTTTGAATGGTATGTCTAAGAAGTAATACATTATTTTCTTTCAAAATTTTATCTTGCCCATACATGCATGTACATATATGTGTGTGTGTATATATATATATATATATATATATATTTTTTTTTTTTTTTGAAATAGAGTTTCACTATGCAGTTCAGGCTGACCTTAAACTCACTTTGTAGTCCAGGCTGGCCTCAAACTCACAGCAACCCTCCTGCCTCAGCCTCCCAAGTGCTGGGGTTACAAGCATGCACCACCATACCAAGCCTATCTGCCCATATAAATAAGAAAATAACTAAGAATATCAAAGTAGAAAAGTGACGTCATAAAAAAGTTATGGGGGTTAGACAGTCTGGTAATTAGTTGTAGGCACCTAAATGTCATTTTCTAGACAAATTGTTTCGAATCCCTTTAAAATGTTCTCTTCTCTGAGTTGTTGAACCTCCTCCTTTCAGCTTTGCTTTCAAATATTCCTGTTACAATGCAGGAGGGCAAGGATTTGCCAACCCAGAAGAACTATTAATTCTGACAACAGTCCCCTGAAGTAATCCTTACCCCTCTGCTATATTAATACCTTATGTCTTATGGTGGAGCCCTAGAAACAAACTCGACAAGATTTGGTTGCAGTAACTCAGTGAGTGAATTTCTCAGGAGAAAAGAAAGGAAGGAAACCAGACAAGGCTGAGGAAAAGCTAAACACAGATTTCCTGTCAGCTTGGTCTGGCTGCAGCTCCATCCCGTCAGGAGCTCTTTAGAGCAAGAATGGCACCCAGAGGTGGACCCCACTTTGTTTCAATGGGCCAAGCTTTTGTACCCCAGGCTGTCAAGAGCGCTGGGGAGCAGGAGGCCTGCCGTCCAGGGCAAGGCCAAGGGCTATGCACTGGAAAAGTGATTAGGGGAACTGCTAAGGATGTGGGAGATGGGTGTGGGCCCAGTACAGAGTCAGAGCAGGGCATCGATGCCTTCGGTAGTACCCGCTATACCTTCTCACCATCTCTTAACTAGCACCTCAAAGCTGTGAAGAAGCAGAAAAGAAATATTAATGTTCTACGAGGAAAGAGAGAGAGAGGCAGAGAGAGAGACAGAGAGAGAGAGAGAGAACCCAGATGTATGTACACACATGATGTCAATGGCCTGATTTTTACCTGAATGCCTCTCTGATCTTTAGAGTCTGAAGATCCCAGGCTAAATGTGCCCTGATGAATCAGCTTTTTCATTCAGCTTTCTCCCAACTTCAACTAGGAAAATTACTAAATACATATTCTATTTCTCAGTCGTGAGTAAAAACTTCCCCACTTAGAATCCAAGACAAGTAGGGTTTTAAAACAACCTATTATAGAAACTCCATTTCTTTACTATTTTAATGTAGAATATAGCAACATATAACAGTGGAAAAGTTAGTGATTTTATTCAATTCTAAGGCATGACATAAAAATATAAAATGTGAAAAGTGTTTAAGACAAATGCTATTAACACAGAACAAAAGTTTTGAAGTATTTCATAATGGTAGAAAAACGAATAAAGTCCTCTTCTTAATTTAACTTCCCAAAGGTAAACATTAAGAAGTTATCGTTACAGTGGTCTGGTGGTGCAAACTGTAATCCCAGCTACTGGTGAGGCTGAGACTAGGGGATCCCAAGTTTGAGCCCAACCTGGTAACTTACCAAGACCTTGCTTTAAAAGGGCTGGGAATGTAATTCAGTGGTAGAATGCCCTGGGTTTGATCCCCTGTATAAGAGAGAGAGAGAGAGAGAATGGAAAAGAGAAAGAGGGGAAGGAAAGGAGACAGAAAAGAAAGAAGGAAAGGAAAGAGAGAAAGAGAAAGAAACAAAGAAAGGAAAGGAAAGGAAAGGAAAAAGGAAAGGAAAGGAAAGGAAAGGAAAGGAAAGGAAAGCTGATGCAACTCCGTGAGCTATGGTCACAATTTACAGAAACAGACTGAAGAGACTGAGGATGACCAACATAACCCCATGGGAGAAGGGCAGCATAGACATTAGCAGTACTCCGTGCAGATATGTGGTATGTCCAATACAGACACATCACATCTAGTTTGTGTACAAAGACTGGAATCCTTTCATAAGAAAAAAGGTATTGCCCATGAGGAGCAGTGACAGCAAGAGCTGTGTCCACAGGACATGAAGCCCCCCGCCAAGGAGGCTTGGCCCTCTCCTTCCAGACAGTCAGGACTCATTCCAAACTCCGAGTGGAGCAAAGGGACAAGTCAGGAAGTTAGGGACAGAAATTAAAAGGTTATAACAAAACAGCTGTGCTGCACAGCCCCCAACTTTAAAAAGAACTTGGCACCCCACTGATTAAATTTACTGCACTGAAAACAAATGAAAAGCTGTAAGAAAGCAAACAAGAATATACTTTAGAAAAAGCTTTTAATGTGTTGTTTTGAACAATTTTAGAAACTTAAACATGTAATTGTATTTTCTATTAAGCCATTCCATTGTTAAATTCTTCACTCAGGGCTCAGTGGTTCTACCATTGTAAGTGATGCCTAAAGCTCTAAGAAATTCTTACCAAGTCATAGTTGGTTGTAAAATTTCTTCAGTCCCTATTAAAAAAATCTCTTCTGCATTTGGACAAGGGAAGTTATGCTACATATTGGTGATCTTTTATTTTTATTTGTATTTTATTGGCAGTCAATTTAGTTGGCTTAAACATTTGTTGAGCACCTACTATGTACCAGGCACTGTACTAGATGCTGGGAGACACAAAGGTGAATATGACATGGTCCCTGTCCCCAAGGACTTGACAGTCTCTTGGAGCCAAACAAATAGTGCAAAGACATAGAGTATATCTGAAAAGGGACAAAAAAACATCAATAATGTAGTAATATTGGGCCTTTAAATACAAAGGTAACATCATTGTTTATAATGTCAAGGCAGACAATTAAAACGCATTTTCATGTGATAAAACAGTAAAATCATTGAGACCTAACTAGTAAAGAGTCACATGATAAAGGTAGTTAATACTAAAAATGTACACCATAGTTTTTCAAGTATTTCATACTTAGAAATATTATTGCCCACATTTGTGCTATATTCAAAGTCAGAATTCCAGGTGTCTCTGTCATTCACATCTCAGCAGGCTGGGGTTCAGTTTCTCGCTCAGTTTATGAATTAGAATGGCTAATTCCTCGGTTGCTTGGCTCTTGTCTTCCAAAAGCTCATAACGAAGGCTGGAGATATCTTGCTTGATTTCTTTTAATTCACCTATAGTATTTGTATTACAAAACATATATATAATTGGTAATTTGCTCTTGGGTTTAGAAAAGAACAAAGTGAAATTCATACTGTATGAGTACATTTACTCCATAAAATCTCCAAGATAGCTATTTCAGCTTTTTTTCTTTTAAAATGTTTAAGAATATATGTCTTTAAAAATAAATGGGCACACACATGTATGTGTGTGTGCATGTGTTGTGTACTGGCCTTTCTAAAAGGCTATAAAAACAATCCACTGATTTTAAGAGTAAAACTCACCTTATCACATTGGCTGGGAATCAAACCCAGAGCCTCTAATATACTAGGCAAGGACGCTACCACTGAGCTATCCCTCAGCTCCCTCCACTGAGAGACTCTGCTAGCAGATATATAACACTGTCTATCCATGGGGAGGCCCTCTGCTCCCCTCAGACACAGGCTTGACACCGACATCAGATATGTCCCATTGCTGCCATCAAAGGGAATGCTAGCAAAACTGCACTTCACAAATGAATTGAGCAGTCAAATACTCAAAAGAAGTAAATTTTAAACCAAACTGAAGGAAGGGAAATGAAAATAAGTACAGATGTCTATTAGGGGAGACAGTGGTAATGAACGTGGAAGCAGCAA